CATCGCGAGACTGGCTCGGGCCGCGTCCGCGCTCGGCCGCCGGAAGCGGAAGTCAAGTGGCGGCCGGGCCCTGGTGGAGCAGCCCGGGTAGCCTAGGGAGCGGAGGGGCGCGGGCCGAGGTGGGCGTCCGCGCGTCTGCGGCGAGCCGAGCGGCCGGCGGGGCGCCCCGGGTTCGTGCTGGCCCAGGTCCGGCCGCGAGCGGCCCGCAGTTGGCCTGGCGTCCGGTGCGTCGGGGGAGAGCGCGTCTGCCGCAGCCGGGCCCCGGCGTGTCGGAGGGCCGAGTAGCATCTCCGCCCGTCCTGGGTGGTCACGGCCAAGGCCGGTCGCCTGCAGCCAGAGCTCCGTGCGGCCTTACTGGCGGCGGAGAGCGGGTGCTGAGTACATACCCGAAGGGCGGGCCCTCCTCATCCGCAGGGGAGCGCACCCCGAGTCGGGTGGCCGCTCACGCCTGAACCCCAAGCCCAGAGCGCAGGGCTCCGGGCATCTTCCAGCTCTGCTCTGGCACTTTGAGCCCCAGTTCCCTCTTACCATGAGCGTGGGGAGCCTTTAGAGCCTTTAATCCCACCCCTTCGTTGACTACCCCTCTGGTCCCCCTCCCACCTTCCGAGGGTTTCCTTCAAGGGAGTCGTGGTCTTTTTCTTTCCACAGATCGAAACAACCTGAATATTAAACAGTCCAGCTGCCCCAAATCCCTGGAGTAAGTAAAGCTTGGATCGGGTACATTCTATTTAAATTTCATTCTCATAAGTAATGGTATTTGTGGGAGGGGGTCTGGGAGGGTTTAAAAGTAGAGAAGTACATTGCTTTGCCTTATGAATTCTGCCATCTGGCTATGTACGGGTCATCTTGCAATTTCTGTGATTCTTACAGAAATCCAAGCACAGTTTTAATTAGCTGTTTTTTTTTTTTCCAAATCGTATCTTGGATTTGAGAATTTGGTGCCAGTCTGCCAATTCCAAACACTCTGACTGTGTGGTATTTAATAAGACACTCTAAGAGAGCAGCAGCCAGAAAGCTAAAATGCCGGCATTTTGCTTCTTGCCTCCAAACCATAATCTTAGCTTAATTTTGTTAGGATGAAGGTTGAATTACAAATGTGACTCAGTGTTTGCCTGTGTTTTGAGGGATTTGGAGAATCACAAAGATGCCATCTTGCACTATGACATCTCGTTGCCAAAAACGTGTTTAAGTAATACAGGAAGAAAAATAATTTTAGGGTGTCAGACAAGAGGGAGAGTTTTAAAGCATAATGTGACATAGGCCCCAAATCATAAAACATGTTTGAGGAGTCTTGAGGCAAGGCACAAAAAGATGGGGTTTGCATTAGGAGAGGTGGGGGATGGGATGTTGGGAAGGGGGCCCCTGGGGGTGCTGCTAGGGATGGCTTCCAGGCCTCCGGTGAAGACTGAAACCAGTGAACTCTCTGTCCCCTGGCCTCTCAAGGATTAGGTAGGCCCTCTGCTGCCTAAGCCAGATCTAGACGTAGAGGGCTGAGAATGTGGGTGAAGTATCACTTGAGCGAATCCATAATTGGCCTGAAAGCCCAGCTGATACAGATTTCAGTTTATTTAGATAGCTTCTATAGTTATTTTTCATTTGTCATAGAGACTGGCCTATGAATACATCAGGTGCCATTAGAAGTTGCTCTCAGACTTCAGTAGTTGTGCTTTCCATTTTCATGTCTCCTGTAATTTGTCTCTTTTTTTATGTGCTCTTTTCTTTTTTCCTGTAAACAACCTTAGGTATTTTATACTGGGAAAAATAAGGCAATCTTCCAGTAACCCCTTTGAGTCCCATTTTGTTTTCGAAAAACTGCAGTTTGTTTGCTTTGAACAGTTTTTCATAATTTGACAGCTGCTGATGCTCCAGCTTCATTTCCTGACATTTGATGTTCCCCCCTTTGTATTTACATGTGTCTCGTGTCTCTCCTGCTAGACTGAGAGCTCTCTGGGAGGAAGGTCCGTGACGCACTGTTCATCTTTGTGTCCTAGGCTCCTAGTTAATAAATGGCTGTTACAGAAATGAAGAAATACTGAACATTTAAAATTAATCTTAAGTTTAAAAGTACTCAAGGACTTTTATGAAAACCGTGACTAAAAATGTTCACTTCTTGGTTTCTTGCATGTTATTATATATTAATAGTTATTTTTTTAAGTTCTAATAGAAACATATTAAAAACTGTACAGAATTTCAGAATGACTGACGCTTCTGAAGCTGTTCCAAATTTTGAAGAGATGTTTGCCAATAGATTCACAGAGGACGACAAAGACTACCAGGAATACCTGAAACGCCCTCCTGAGGCCCCTCCGATTGTCGAGGAGTGGAACAGCAGAGCTGGTGGGAACCAAAGAAATAGAGGCAGTCGGTACGTATTCCCTCAGAGTACACGCACAGGGCTCCTCCGGGGAAGGACAGCTCTCGCTGCTGCCCATAGGCCACCAAGCGCAGGGACTGGGTTTTTGTTCAGGGTCATCTACCTAGTGCCTAGTAACTGTGGCTGCAGAGAGTGGCTAATATTTGTTTTAGTATTTAGTTAGCATATTTTTTTCCTTGCTATTCATTTTGTGTTTTAATGTTTTTTTTTAAATGTTCTTTCTGTGGACTAATATTTTCTTTGCAAATATACTTTAGATCTAGATCCTTCTGCAAAATTTTGTTTTAAATTCCATTAAGAAGGTGTTTTTTCATTCATTTTATTACTTTAGAAAGTTTATACAATGGGAAGTAATTCTATTCCACAGTTCAAAATAGATAAAAGTAATAAATTACCATATTGCTTTTGTACAGGTAAATAGATTGCAGTTTGATTCAGAACTACCCTGTTGTTTCAGGTTTGGCATTGTAGGCCATGTGTTTCCCTGCAAACTGTATCCAGTACAATACTGGAAGAATGATACAAATCTTAGGAAGATTTGGAATACCTGGTGCTATGCCATTCTGTAAAGAAAAATGTTTTTTTGCTCTCTTGTTCACTTGGTACTAGATTGAAAAATAAAATGCACTGGGATAGATTTGTTGTGTTTTTTTCTGAAAAACAAATATAAAAATCTTTATGTTTTGTTGTTGTAGGTTGCAAGACAACAGACAGTTTAGAGGGAGGGACAGCAGACGGGGGTGGCCGAGCGACAATCGGTCCAATCAGTGGCATGGACGATCCTGGGGTAACAACTACCCACAGCACAGACAAGAACCTTATTACCCCCACCAGTATGGACACTATGGTTACAACCAACGGCCTCCCTATGGTTACTACTGAGAGGAACGTCAGCAGCTTTTAGTAAAACCATTTGCTCTGTTAAACAACAAAAGTTTGTGTGTATCATACCTGATTTCAGACTGGATTATTAATTTTTTCGAACTTGAGGTTTTTTTTTTTTAAATTTTTAGATCTTATTAGGGAGATGTGATGGTTGCTGGGAATAAATAGTCCCCTAAAAGGTAGATTGTATTACTTCTACCTCAGATTCTCCTTCGTTTCATACTTAATAGTACTTTGGACTTGGTATATCTTATTAAAAATAAAAATCTTAAAATAAGAAAATGCTTGCTTTTACTTTGTAAGATAAGGAAGTGCCCACACACTCGAATGTGGTTGTTGCTGAAATTTTATAAGTGCACTAATGAATCACAACATACGGTACGGGTGAGCAGCAGCTAGAAGGTGAATCAGCTGTGGCCTGTGTCCTCTGGCTTTTGTCCTTAGTGCCTGGGGACTCTGCAGTTGCGTACTCTAGGTGTGAGCCTGCCCCAGTCCTCTGGGTCTCTCCCTAGGGGGCTGTCAAGGATAAAGCCACAACTGAGGAGGGAACCGTTTCAGTGTTCTGGGCTAGTACTAGGTGGGTTTGGGCACAGTCATTTTGTACCAACCCTAAGGCTTTTTGCTTAAACGTCTGAAATTCACCTATTATACAAAAGTTTAACTCTGTAATGTCCCCTCTTTCAATCATACGGAAGTAATGCTGTGTTTTGACTCTACTTACGTCTGGTATTTAATGTGGGGTGACTTAACGTTATACTCTAAATGTGGGCCTTTGCTGTTTCTCTTCTGTAGATACTGATGCTGTAACTTCTTTTCAGAGTAATCATTTTTCAAATCATTTTAATGATCATTATAATGATTTTTATTTAAATAAAATACTTAAAGGATTAAGTGGTTTCTCATGTTTGGTCATTAATGTGGGGAGGTGAGCTTTTTGGTTTCTTACTACTATGTGTTATATTGAGAAAGGTTTATTTGGCTTAAGAGGGCAGAGGAATTAAAATGCAGCTTCCTAAACCTGCCGTCTGCTGCCGTCTCTCAGGCCTCCGGTGCTGGGCCCTTGAGGCTGACTTCTCTGTGCTCCGGATCCAACTCCCCTCCACTCCCCGCATCCTGAAGAGCCCTCCTCTCAGGAACTGTTTGACTAGAAAGGAATCTAACAAACCAGCCATTCACACTCAGGCATTCAAATTCTAAGAGACAAGGGTTTTCTCTACATCTGACTGTATCAGTAACCAACAAGCCAGCACTCTTACATAAAGGATAGGTCTGGGTACTACAGATACTTAGCCTAGAGTTAAGAATGGCCTGACTGCATCCCAAGATCTTTTCTGAAAGCTGGTAGGCTACTGAAAGTATCTATCAGCTGATAGTAGCACAGGCACTGACCTGTGCGGACAGCAGCTGAGCACAGGGTTAGAACGGGATCGCAGAGGCGCCCTGCTGAGCCAGCCATGACACGCTAGGGAGACCCGGGATCCTCCGGGCAGGGCTGGATGGAGGGATGCATCTCAAAGCCCAGAAGGAAGGCTATTTTCCAACAGTATTTAAATATTTTAACCCTGATACATTAGGGCACATACGGCCTGAGGATCAGCCCTGCTTGAAAATATGGTAAGAGTCCTTTTAACATGAGTGAGGTCTGCACTGTGCCCCAGTAATCCACATGGTGGTGGTTTTTCTTTCTTAAACAGCAGTCACCATCAAACTGCCCTGTATACTTAAAACCAGGAAGAAATAAAAGACATGGTTTCTGCTTCAGGTGGAAGTGACACAAAATAACAGCAAAAAAACAAGGATAAATTAAGAGTAGAAGGAAGAATTTAAAGTGTCAAATAGGATTAATCTCAAGTAGACAGTCTGTTTAATAGCATATAGCTTTAACCATAAGGAGTCGTGACTTCCAGTCCTGTCCTTAGAAGGTATGTGGCCTTAACAAAAGTCACTTAAACTCCAAGCATTTTTGCTCACCTATAAAAACAGGGTAATGCCCACCCTGCCACTCTCAGTTCCCATAAAAGGAAATGACCAGACCTGCTGGAGCTTGAGAACAGAAGCTAGAGCCTGTGGCCATGAAATCCCTAATGGCATAAACATTTGTTGAGTCAATGGGAGTAAAGTATTTGGTAAATTGTAAAGTACAGTGTTGATATAAAAGACAGAATAACTGATAGAAAATGATGTAGGGCAGGAGACTTACTGAGCATTAAAGACTTGTGACCGTTTATGTAAATTAATAGATGAATTAGCAAGGAAAAATTAAATATTTAATACGGAATAAAGTTTATGTAAAACTCGAGATACAATTAGTAGCATTTGCTGGTTTAGAAACTGGCACTGACTTTAACTCCCTGAAAAATCTCCAGCCTCTTTCTCTGAATTAGGTAAATAAAGCTGTTCTAACTGCTAAAGGCCAGAGCCTTCTCACTTTTGTGTACGTTTTTCTCATTTTGAGATTTCCTTCACCATATATTTTGGGTCTCTACAAATAATAATATAAAAAGTGAAACAATACAAGTATGAATAATCTGCACCCATCCAGTGGTTATGGCCTGTGTATGCCTCTCTCTCACCAGGCCCACATAAAAATGTATACATTTGATAGATATTTTTCCTTAAAGTGTGCTTGTATTATATATATATATACACACATCTTTGTTCATGCAACCAACAGATGTCACTCCAGGCCAGCAGCTATGATTTTAGTAATACAATATTCCATAGTACGGGTTTGCTGCTGATCATCCCCCCAAGGCAGACCTCAGGTGGCTTCCCCTTGGCCTCTGCTGACAGCCTCGCATTGCTTTTGTCCACACATCCCAGGGTACTTTTATTTTTGTGTGTTCTGCGAGGTGTTCTCACAAGTAGAACTGTTGGGTTAAAAGACACGTTTCGAATGTTAGTAAGTGCTGCACCATTTTCTAAACCACCGGAGCAATGCCCACTCCCATTAGCAACATGAGGATGCACGTACGTCTCCCTCTCCTTCCCTGTAACTTCAGCTTTTCGTCCAGATGGCTCAGGCTTTTTGTTTTGAAATTAGAGAACTTTTCTAGGCTGTGTCTCACCTGGGACACTGCACCTTTTATTCCTTAAACTCTTTTTTTCTTCAGTATTTTCTCGATTGTATCGTTAAGTCTGTTCTGTTGTTTGGCCCCCTTCTTCAGGACCCCGTTACGGATGTGTTAGTTTTCCTTTGTCCGACTTCTCTCACTTTTTGCCCACCTTTTTCTAGCCTGCCCTCCAAATCTGTGCCATGTGTTCGGCCTCTTTTCTGTAGTGCTGCTTCCAACATGGCCTGTTTTTATGATGCTTTTATTTTTAAATGTGATCAGCCACATCGCAGGGGCTCAGCAGTCACACGAGGCTGGCAGCATGGTTCTGGGAGACTGAGGGGTTGCAGTTCTGCTGGCTTCACTCACCCCCTCCTCCACAATATGGCCCGTGTGTACCCCTGGGGAAACTAAGGCTCTGGAACAATTTGAAAGACACTATGATAGTAAAACCACGTCATGAATGAGACGTGTTTCATGCCGAAGTGACCACGGAGTCTGTAATCTGTGCTGCTAAGTTTGAGGATTCTCCCCACTCTCACTCTTATAATCAAGGCACACAGCTAGGATTACAAAATGATGAAACCTTAGCAATTGAATTATAAGGACAGTGTGCAGAAAGCCTGTGAGTGCAGAGTGGTTGGTTCTGCTGAGCCTTTGGGGAGCTCCTGTTCCCTGAAGCATCAGTGTGCAGGGCTTCTCAGCAGAGGGGCCGGTAAGGTAAAATGGGTGCATCCCTACAGCAGAAATGGGGACCCAGCGGGGGTCAGAGCCCCTGGCCTGACCCCTAATTGCTCTGGCTCTGATCCCATGCTCTCTAAAAAGCTTTCAAATGGTGGCTGGCTTCTTGAAGAGATTTCCCGAGATGGAAGGTGCTCACTAGAGACCCCATGACACAGTCTATCTGGCAGGTGGGCTCCTCACTCAAATTACTAAGTTGACATCTTGTTTAGAAATCATTCCTTGCCACATAAGTGTTCAGCCTAATTCCATTGTCAAAAACACTGACTCAGTGGGATTTCTGAAAGCTGCAGAATTTGGGAGCCCACCAGGACTGTGCTGAGTGCACGGAGGGCTGCCTGCCCAGGACTCCCCAGGGCCCAGTGGGTACCACACTCTGGCCTGAGCTAAACGTCAGACACAAGGGCTGAGCCTGAGGAATGGCTCCGAGAGGACCGGCAGGAAGGACCAGGGTGCATGGTGCTGGCAGACGGGCACTCCGGAGGGGACTTCCTGGTGGTACTGCCCACTTCCACAAGATTGAGGCCGTTCCTCTTCAAGTCATATGTGGCTTTCTGCGGGCACGTATGGTGCCACCTCTCGGATGTGCACCAAAGATCCAGCTTCTTCAATTTTAAGTCTCTAGTCACATACGTTAAAAAAATGTGAAGTGCAGGCCATGGTGGGTTCTAAAATTTATATTTTGCATGAAGTACTTACTCAAATTCTTAGACTCTGTAAGAGGGAGGATGCTGATAGCTCACAGCCCAGAAAAGAAGTCTGCCTCCTGAAGTTTGGGAATGTTTATCTACCTGGAACTTTAAACACTGCCATGGTGCCGCCACACCCGCTGGTTCTCCCGCCTCAGTTGGCACAGGAGTCAGGAGTCCAGGCTTGTTCCCACCTCCACGGTGGGAGCGCGAGGCCTGCCTTCCGCCGTTCCGTCAGCGTACACTCCGAGCGTCGGCAGTGTCTGCGAAGGACTAGGAAGTTACCCATACATCACTTTTGCAGGAGCAATGATCATGTACTCAGGTAGGAGTAGTAAATGGCAGATGCAGCGGTAGAACGTCACCGTGATGCTATTCACCAGAGTTGGACAGCATCTTTCAGACCTTCAGGGCCTGCCTCAAAGACGTGCCCTCAGGACAGCACGGGACAAGGAATGCCAGGTCACCAGGTCACTCCATAGCCTGTGTAGCTGGTGTTCACTTAAAATTAATGTAGGTGGGCAGGGCCAGGGGTTCGAGATCTTGTTTCCTTGGGCCTAGGTCACTGGGCCTGCTGCAGTATTCTCGGGGGAGGACCCAGCTGAGGCAAGGTGCCCAGGCTTTAGCTGGGATTGTCACTGTGGGGAAGGGCCCTGCGTGGGACTGCTAAGGTGACCCCGTTTGCTGAGGAGGAAAGGGAAACCACGTTCTAACAGTGATGCACAGAAACATGCCTCAAGAGCACACACTGGCGAGGTGCCGAGAAGAGCAGGGCAAGTCCTTAAGCCAAGACTGTGTGCAACAGGAGCGCGCGTGGAGGCAGCGTGGCTAACGGCTTGGAGGAGAGGGCAGCCGAGTGTAACCCACGCTCTTTGTTTCCTGCGACTGACTTTTCTTATCCTTGGTTCCTATTGACAGAGTAGGAGCTGTGCTAGACGAATGGTTCCCAGCTCTTTTACCGTTAGTAATTTTCATCATTGATCCTTCTAATGGGTTTGTATTTTTAAAGATTTTTGTCGATCAGTACGTTTTCTCCCGTACTTAGACAAAGCACACAGCTGCCAGTCACCTCTTCTGATGAGCAAAGGTAGTCAAGCTCTTTCCCTTCCCAAATCACGATGATCTGCGCTATTTAAAAACAAGAGATTATTCACTTTTGAGACTTTAATAGAGCAGATACGACTTCTGATAGGCTTTCACACATACCAAAAATGGCTTCCACATCCTTTCTTCTTTGAAGGGTCTTTGGAGATTCAAGAACCACCAGATTGGATGACTACAGTTACCATATAAGGAGGAAGAAAAATCCAGTGACTTCTCAAAAAAAGTAACTTTAAATTACAATCCTCATTATTCTTACTCACAGAATGTTCACTAGTTTTTAAAAGACACAGAAAACACTTTTTTTGCATGTGAATAAGCATTTCAAAATACTTTCTAAGACCACAAAGCAGTGTGACAGGTTTCCCTGTAACATGTGAACTGGATCCGAGGGCAATCCCCAGAATTCCAGAGTGTTGTGGAAATACCATCATTTTAACAAACAATCAGGATCAACTGCACGTGACTAGGAGTCAAGGGAACTGGGTTCTAGTTGCCATCTTGCACAGAATGATCCTGAAAAAGTTTCTCAACTTCTGGATATCAGAAACCCCATCTCAAAACTAAAGGGACTGAATCAGGTCTTGCCGAGTATCCTTTCCAGCTCTGTTTTTTCTGCAATGCAGTGAAATCAGAGCAGCATGTTCCAAGCGGTTTGGGGTCAGGGATTTTAGAACCTATATTCCATGTATCATACTTGAAAAACTTGTACTTCTTGTTGGGCTCCTGTTATTTTTTTTTAATTAAAGTATCATTGATATACAATCTTATGAAGGTTTCACATGAGCAACATTGTACTTTCAATATTCACCCATGTTATCAAGTCCGCCCCCCTCCCACTGCAGTCACTGTCCACCAGCGTAGTGAGATGCTACAGAGTCACTACTTGTCTTCGTTGGAGTCCTGTTCTTTTTCCAAAAAAATTTTTCCCCATGTTCTTCTGTGCATTTAAATATATTTTCCTGTTTAACAACCTCTTCATCATCAGCAACAAAAAGTTTCTCGAGGATGTGTTTTTCATTTCTGGCTTTTATTATTTTTCGACTTGCTTTTTTAATTTCTCCAGGACTTCTTCTGGGGTTGTGGAGGCCAAAAGCTTCACCACTTTTTCCCGAGACTTTCCACCCTGGAGCAAAGGGGAAACACCAGGGTGACCGTGAGCTCTCTAACACTGCCGCCGGCAGCGGACCTCCGCGGGGTCCGCCACAGCTGTGTCCTCAGGTGGCCTGCAGCGTTCCTCACAACTTAGCTACAACTTTACTCTTTTTTTTTTTTCTGGTCTAATCAAAAGCTCTTTTAGATTCCACCTTACTACAAATTTTCACAACTCTCCAGGGTTTTTACCTTCATATATCAATTTCTGAATAAAGTGAAAATTATATCCCAGTGTTGTAATTCCATGGCCACTCAAGACAAGCATACACAGGATGTGTTTTGGGAAAAATGTGGGCAGGGATTTACCTAGACGGGTAGGAGTTGCACGGGTAGAAGAGTGGCAAATGCCAGAGCATGTACACAGGCAGAAAACCAAACGACTCGCCACAAGTGGGGGGTGTTGAGGGCAGTGGCGTGACCACATGGAGTTTTAGGTGCAGCCTATTAATCAGAGAGTCTAATGCCAGCTGGACCGTGGACAGGAGCTACAGAGTGTAGCATGGAAAACAAACAAGAGCTTTAAGAAATGTAAGCATGGTTGGGTCTTACTCCTGCCAATTCTACCCCAGTAAACCTAAGGTGGTGCTCAGGAGCCCTTGTCTTAGGAGGGCCCCCGGGAGATTCCGAAGCCCACCCCTGGAGCAAACTCGTGGCTTCCACGGCTTCGCACGAGCCTCCTCCCTCCTGCTGCGCTTCTCCAAGTGAACAAGGACTATGCGGGGCAGAGCCACTTACTGGACTCAGTAACAGAGACGACAAGCAAGGGAGCCGCTTCAGATTTTTTAGAATGGTGATGACTTGAAGGAAGAGACAAGCAAGATTAACCTAACAGAGCAGAAGAAACTGCTGAAAATGGTGGCAACTAAGGACTATAAATAGCACGTAAATGTGAATGAGGACGAGCAGCAGGCATGAAGTCTAAACAGCAAGAATCCAGACTTCAGTGACCGAATGAATATGAGTAAAAACCAACTAATTTTTCAGTTATCTGGAAAAAAAAATCAGTATTTAAAAAATAATGACTAATGTGTCATGATCAACGAGAGGACCAAGCCTACCTTATCCAGAACCACGTCACTCTTCCTGAGCGCCAGGACCCTGGAGAGATACCGGCAGAGCTCGGCGTTAGCTTCTCCTTCAGACGGAGGGGCCGCGATAGCCACGCTTACAGCTTCCGCGGTCAGGTCTGCAACGAAAACAGTGTGGACTTTATCCTTAAGGCCTTTCTTCACTAAGTGAGGCGATCGTGTTTAAGAGTCTGCATTTGCCTGGCACATAAGCAGCTTTTCAACTAATATAAAGATTTCTTAATGTGCTGCTATGACTAATTACATCTTTAAACTAATCACAGTTAAGGGAACATAAACATCACAGGCAGGCCTCCAGCACTACAGAGAAGAAAACTGATTATCTACCCCATTCTGCTGGCAAAGCGGGGCCTGTGGAGTCCTGGGCCATGTCCTGAGTTTAGGCAGGTGGCAACTGCTCCTGCTCCGACAGGAGAGCCCCTGGCAGCGGGGTCTGGCCCCAGCAAGGGCGCCAGGGAACAGTGAATGAGGCGGCTCACCAGCCTCTATGTGGGGGTTCAGGGGTCCGTCGTCAGGAAAACGAGAGCGCTGGGCTAGTCAGATCTTATACGAGATGATTCTTTAGTCTTTTTAAAGGTAGTATTTAATAAACGTTCACTTATATACACTAAGGGCACACATTTTTTAAGGACTTTGCAAATAGTAATTTGTTAAGAAGATGCTAATAGCATTATCATCTCCATTTTACAAGCGAGGAAACTGGAATCAAGATGTGCCCAAGGTCACATGGCCAGAAAGTGATGTTGTGATTAAAAAATAAACCTGAGCTCATGCTTTGAAGACCAGGGACAAGGGACACTGCGTTTGAAGAGTGGTCCTACCTGCCCCATCTCTACAGCCTCTATGAAGAGCAACCCCCTGGTTGTCCTTCGCTGTTATTTCTGAGAGAGAAGTTTACTCACAGCAGTTTGCAAGTGAGCTTGAGCTGGCGCCACATCTGGGGTGACTCGGGCGTTTCCACACTTACTTATACCTTATCTGTGTACACACCTGGCCACAGAACCCACAAGAATGAAGTGGCAAAACCCTCCTCCTATCCTGTCACTGATTCTGATCCTAAGGAGTTTTCCACACTGTATTATCTGAAATTCGGGTGTGTCTTATATAATAGATGGAAAAGGGCTGGTAGGGATTGTGCCTGGTACATAAAATTCCTGGTACATAAAATTCCTGTGTACCTTATAACTGATGGTTCAAACATTTGTTCTACATGGCATCTCAACAAGCGTGTACAGCAACTGCTTATAAAATGCTGGCCAAGGGAGGACACGGCCACCAACCAGCCAAGCTAACATGGCCGTCGGCACAAAGCGGGCCTAGCACCCCAACTCTGAGGTCTGGCTTTCACGTATTTTTAAAAATTGGAATACAGAGCTTTTAGAGATGAAAAAGGCCTTCAAGATCATTCAGATAAATGGTTTTCAAACTCTTTTTCCACTCAGAATCCCCTCAGGAATCCTAAAATCTAAAGCGAATGTAAACCCTGTCACTTGGGAGCCCCGTCCGCTGGCTTTCCCCTGCCCGTGGCAGATTCCTGGGGCGCCTTTTCCATATAAGCATCTACAATATTTTAAATACCATACATTCACTCTCAAACACTGCGTTTACACTTCTACGTTAGAATTTGGAATTTTTAACTGGAAGATACCCCTAGCTGCAGATGTGAAAATATACTTGACTGTATAGGATAAACTCTCAGCTACCCTGGGCCAAGAGAGGGTAGAGGGCAACTATTCCTACATGACTCCCAGCCCGGTGCCCAGACGTACCTGTTACAGCATTTTGCTTGGAACCAGGTTTGGCATGGATGGCAATGGTGACACAACCTTTAGGATCAACTGCCACAGGCCCTACGGGAGGAAGAGAGCGCTCTGGACCCCCGCTCCGGCTTTTGCCCTAAAACGACAACCGCAAGCACTCTAACAACTTGCCCGGTTACATGTTTTCCCGGCCCCCCACCACTCAGTCACCCTTAACCGAGACAGGCTTGCGCGGCCGACCAGCTGCGTCGGGGACTTCTGGCCACCAAGACTCGTGTTCCAACATCCTTCGTGGCTCCAGTGCCTCCGTGAAGCGCCCACCAAGCGCACAGCGCTCCTCCCCGCCTCGGAGGGCCCGCCCGGCCTCGGGGGCAGACACCACCTACTGGCCGGCCGTGCGCCCCGCTCAGCACCAGCCGGTGCGAGGCCCACTGTGGCCGGCAGCGCGCGTGCAACCGGGGCAACGGCACAGGGGCCGTCCTGGAGCCCCCGAGGACCCCGGGCCGCGCCGGGGACAAGGCCAGACACCGCGCAGGCGGCTACGGCACCGGCGGCCCGTCCAGGGTCCTCGCAGAGGCGGCGCCGGGCGCGGCCCCCAGCCGCCGCTCCACCCGCCCGCGCCCTCGGCGAGCAGCCCCGCGGCCCACCCGCGGCCACGCGACTTGCCACTGGCCTTGTCGGTCGCCCCAGCCTTCCTGGGCATCTCGGCGCCCCACACCCGCCCGAGCGCCGTCTGCCCGCGGCCGAGCCGCCGCATCGCCCAGCGAGGGGCGCAGGGCCGCTGGCGCCGGAAGGGACGTCTGCGCCTGCGCACGCGGCGGGCGGCGGTGGCCCCGACCCGCGCCTCCGCTCCGCCGAGGGCGCCGCCTTCCGGGCGGCGGGAGCAAGACTCCTTGTTGCTCAGGACCTGCACCTGCCTCTCGGTCCGGGAAAGCCTCCAGGAGGCAGAGGTGGGGAGCGGGGCGCCGCCCCTGTCACGACCTAAACACACAGCAGGTGGGAAGCTTGTGCCTCCCTGGCCCTCTGTCTCTCGTGGGAAGAAGCGACGGCAGTGAGCGGCCAGGAGGGCATCAGGTCAGGTGCCTTCTCGCTCCTGCCGCCAACGTTGGGTGCAGACGGAGCCCCGCTGGTGGGCGGAGAGCCCCATGTTGCCTTAGCCCTGGGTACATCCCCGCTATGCGTGCAGCACCCGTCTTGTGCCAGACGCTGACGATCCCACAGTGTTAAAAGGAGGGGAAATAGATTCTGATGTGTGATGTTTCAGAGAGGAAACTGAAGTTGGCGGAGGCAAGGTCATGAGTCATGCAAGGGTTTGTTTGAAGCAAGGGACTGGCGCACTCCAATCCGCTGGGGAAACATCCCTGGCTGCCGCGTGGCCAGTACAGGAATACAGGCAGAGACTTTCCGTTAAATGGAAGATAGTGGCAGTGGGAATGGAGAGCTGAGAGCTGATCATTTCAAGGACATTCTGCACGGCAACCGTCAGCTTGGGGCGTGACTGGACGTGGGAATGAGCAAGGAGGACGCACAGCTGTGGGTGCCTGCGGCGAGCTGTTCCGTTTGGGATATGCCTGCAGGACAGACATGTAGGTGGAAATATTAAGGGGGTGACCCAGTGTCTGTGACTGAAGCTTGAGAGATCTGGGCTGGGGACAGACCCTGGAGTCCTCTGAAAATAAATAGATGGGAACTGAAGCCGTGGAAGTGGAAGAGAGAGAGGCTCAGAGGGCGGCCGGCACCAGGGCCCAGGACGGAACCCCAAGGGAAGGCGAAGGGAAGCCGCGGACGCGGCAGGCAAAGGGCACTCGGGAGGGGGCAGCCAGCAGCGAGGAGCGCCACGAGGCATGAACAGTGGGACCAAGTGGTGCTGGCTCCCAGCCAGGCCGTGGCAGCGGAGAGGAAATGGACGGAGGAGGTTCAGCAAATAATTCAGCTTCACCGAGGAGTAACTGCCATCTGGAGGGGCACGTGACATCAAGACTCTTCTTTTTTAAACTGGGCAATTTAACCACATTTAAAGATGGTAGGAATATGGCAGGGGAGGAGGCTACAAAAGAGGGAGGTGGTGGGGCTTGGGCGCCAGTGCAGAGTGGCCTGCCTGCAGGAAGCCGTAGCCAGACACCCCTTACGTCCCAGGTAAAGGGGAAGCTTGGGTGCACACGCAGGTGTGTCTACAGGTTTGGTGGGAGGAGCTGGAGGCTCATCAGCTACAGGAAGGTGGGTATTGTGGGCATGAAGAGAGTGGAACGGATTTAAACACTTGTGAACGGCCAAGAGCTGACTACGAGCTGCGCTTGGGGACATAAATTACCATGGCCCCGATCTGTGCAGCCACACCTTTCAATACCTGGCCTCAGCAGGCACGACGTTGAAGGCAGACGACTGAATTCATCCAGGTGGGCATGAGAGGGTTGGGGGTTGAAGCGGCCAGATGTGCCCAATGATGAAACGGGGGTGGGGGGGGGGAGATCAAAGGCGGAGTCCCACTGGGTGGGGAAGGAAGGGGTCTGACAAACAGGAGAGGCCAAGAGAATGGCTGTGACGGTGTCGTTGGAGTGGGAGCGCGAAGGTCACGGTCAGCGTGTCTCACTCACCGCTTCGGAGGCGCAGCGTGCCCGTGGGACGGTGGCCTCCGGAGGTCAAGAAGGAGGTGGAAAGCTCGGCTTGGGTGCCTTGTCCATCCGAGGTGGACAGAGGCCGCTACTAGGAGGGCTTTTGGTAGCAGCAGGTGTTAAACCAAAGCCACATTTTATTTGACATCAGTTAAGCATTGAGGCACCAAAAGTGAACAGTACTATGTAGAATCTGTTTTGGACTAGAGCTTTGACAGTGATGATGGAAACAGAGGGCACTTGTTCTGAACTATTAATGGTATCTGGTGGCCGAGGGGGGAAGACATGCCCAGCCTTTGCCAAGGGGACTCAGGAGGGCAGAGGGCCAAGGAGGAAGCTGGTCGCCTCATCTGCCCCCAGTGCCCACAACCGACTTGTTCCTGCCCCAAGCCCCTGCCTTGGAGGGAGAGTGGGCTGCCCAGTGGTGCAGCAAAGAAAGGAGCTCTGATCCAAATGGCATTAAACCCACTACAAATGTTTATACTGGTTCCTGTTTTATCTTTCACTTTTTAGTAATGCTCCATTTAAGGACTCCACCTTGTCCTAGCTTTGCCAAGGGGGGAAATGGGGAAATGGATTTTTAAAGTGCACAAAAGAGGTGAGGAGGAAGGAGCTGGGGCTGGGGTTACTGGGGTACCGTTCCCCTTAGGGAAGATGCATACTGTCTGATTGAGCAGTCACTTCCCAGTTTTTGAATCTGGAGCACTTGAACAGGGAAGCAGACAGCAGAAAAGTCTGAAGATGAGACAAGGGGAATGCAAACACTTTAGGCATATTCCACTTGACACACTGCCTGTTACGACCTAACCCTCTCTGTCCTACAAAGGGTACTACTTATATGGACCTAAAGGAACGCAATCTCAATTTGTTGGAGATAGTGGAATCACTGCACTTATAAAAAATAGAAAATACTTACATTCTACAGTAAATACAGATTAACCAAGTGTCTTTTTGGGTGTTATTGTAAAATTTGAGAGCATGACATGCTATTTTGGGACCCAGCAAATAGGAGATAGACTTGGGTTTAAATTCTGCCTCCCACCACTTAATGACCTTTTTGAATAAACATGAATTTCTTTGGCTGTGAAGTGTGCATTATAACAGCCCCCACCTCACTGATGCTATAGAGCCCAGTGAGAACATGTGCAAAGGGGTCAGCGCGGGGCCCCGCACCTCATCGCCCAGGCAGCTTTTACCGACACCGACCAACGGCCACAAGGCCGTCGCGTGACAGCAGAGTGGTGGCCAGGACAGTCTTAGCTCCCCCACCTCCCAGAGGCGGAGGGCACAGACCTGGCCAGGCAGCAGGCGGCAGCACCAGTTACCGCTGCTGCTTTCTTATTTGGGGCTGTTGTTACACGGTTAAACCTCCATTAACTAGAACTCACACTGTTGTAGATGCAAATGAGAACTTTTAGAAGAAAAAACCAAATGACAATAAATAAATAGGATAAACAAATCTTTATTTTTTTATTCCAGGGGATGTCCCATCTCAGTAAACAGCTGTTTTCTTGCACCTTCCGGGTGTCCTTCAGTTATAATCACTGCTCAGTGCAACACACCTGAAATGCCTCGCACGTCAAACAGCTGACCTAGAGCACAACGCACTTTAAAGGTCCAAGTATTTTCCACGGTGGTTACTACAGAGTGTTCGCTGGTTCACCTTTAGTTCACACATTCCAGACACTCCAGTTACCAGGTTTACATCCTTGAGGTCATGTGACCAGACAGGAGAACTTCCCTTCTCAGCACTGTTGAGACCTGTGCTACCAACCCAGGTCACTACCTTCTTGAATATATAAAACAAAATACTACCTTAGATGAAAAACGTTTATCCTAATTAGCATTATTTAGAAAAAAAGTCAATTCTTTTTGATACTTAAAAGAATTGTCATTTTTAACCATCTTCCACAACTATTTGATATACCTTAAACCTAATTACCCGTTGTTTTTATAAGATAATCACTTTCAAGGCAAAGAAAACTTTTATATAAAAATTTTACTTTATAGAAAGTGTATAAATGTCACATCTGCCAGATGGACCTCCGACCCACCCTCCATACAGCTGTGCCTGTGACATTTGTGGCGTTATGAATAGTAAACATTTTACTTCTTGGGTAGAACTGTGTCGGTGACACAAAGTTTCCTTTTCAGCAAGAGCGATTCCACTGGACGTCTGTAAAATCTCAAGAGTGGCTGTTAGAAACGTGTCTTGCTTCTTGTTGGGGGAGATGATCGCCACGACAGGGAACTGATGTCCGTGTGTCCAGACACCACCAAGGCCACCACCACCTCAACCTGAGGGACTCTCAGCAGCACCCCCCGCAGCAGTCAGGTAGTGATGCCCTTTAGGGATGAAGAATCCAGTCTTAGAATACACCTTCAGATCCTTTGTTTATATCACATTATTATGAATTTGTAGAAATTCTATTTATAGTTAAAACTGTCTGTGTAACACATTACTAGTACAAAATATTCTTTCCTGTAAATGCAATGAAATTTTTCCTGGGCATTTATTAGACACATTCTAACAATATTCCAAATGCTAACAACCAGATACTCCAAAACTCCAAATATAACACATCAGCTTTCTTAATTTTCTGAAATTAGTTACTTGAGTTGATAGGAATTCTACAGGAATACTGGCCTATCTCATCACATGTAAGTGCAAAACAGTTCAGCCTCTATGCCCATCTCATCTGACCTTCAAGAGTTAGAAAAACAGAAACAAAACCCAGCTATACAAAACAAATCTTTCAATTATAAAACTGTTGAAAGACCATAAGCTGATATACGAAATTACACAAGATAAAGCTGCAATAGCTGCACTTTTTAAAAACATTTAAACCCAGTTCTCTTTTTCACTAAAGGTACAAGAAAATGGGAAGTCTGTCTTTAAATCATGCAGAGATGTATATCAGTTTTTTTAATCTAATCCAAGAAACTAAAATGTTTCTTATCTTACAATTATTTTCATGACACTCAAACTATTTTTTATGGCCAGTTTTTTATGCCTTTGAGACTAGACTGTATGGTCTATTTGGCCAAGAGTATTATAATGCTAAGTTACGTGTAAAATATTATCTCTGGTATCTGTCCGTCTTCTATGGAAGTGCCATTATTATTGCCAGGGGAGCTGAAAAAGAAGAAGGCGGTCTTGCTGGCGGCAGGCGTCTCGTGCACCACCTTCTTCAGTCCTTTTGTGCCATAGTGGGAATCTGGACCCTAATGAGAAAAAAAGGTTCATTAATATTCTCATTTAATAAGCACTCAATTTAATGTGGTGTTTTAATTAGATCAGTGATCTATTTTATTTCATTATGGTTTTTGTATAAAATGTTGTCAAGTCATTTAATGAACAATGAAGTTTTTGCTATAAAGGTAATGAATGATTAAAAATGCTGACCGTAGAGCTCTGTTAAGAGAACAGTGAAATGATTCTAAGAAAATACATCACTTTCTCTTCTGTCAAAGCCTCACTCTCCTACTCGGGGGCCGCTCCTACGGAAACCGCTTCGGGCAGAGCCGAGCCGGAGGCACTCTTCTCAGACCCGGGCACTACTTGCTTTCGCTCCCAGCTTCCTTCCCCCGGGAAACATGCTCGCTGACAGGCAGGAGGAGAGCACGGCCCCCCGTTCACCGCCTGGAGGGGCCTTACTCGGAGCGTCGCGCACGCCGTGTAGCACACGTTGGGCAGGATCTCGACGGGTTCCTTGAACATGACCCTGAATGTGTTGGCGGTCCCGTCACAACTAAACCCAGTATCATTCTGTCCCAGGGTTTGCTTTTTTTCATATTCAATGATCTGTAATTTTTAAGAGAGAAGTTATATGTAAGTTAAATCAGTGGAGAGAGAGTTTCATAGAAAAGAATGTGATGCCCTCAGCAGTCGCAGAGCAGACTCCTCCGTCTCTGTGCTGTGACTTTTCTCTACTCACCTCCACCACCAGACACGGCTGTAAACGTGCTATCGGAAAATGGCTATTCACCCTGCACTGCAGGAAGGGGCGGGAGGGGGGTCAGATCAGTGGGCTTGGCTGCAGGGTCTCCACAACGTGGGGACTTAGCTCCCTGGGGGAAACAAGCTGTACTCCGTGCCAGCCTACGCCTTGCTGCCGGGAAATTCCTGTAGCATTTCATAGGTCTAAACGGGGTTTACTAAAATTAAAATGACCTTGAATGCAGTATTCAGACAGGCATTGAGGGCCACCCTCGAGGAGCTTCCAGGCACTTGCGAAGACAGGGAAACGGTGACAGTCCAGTCCGGTACCGCAGTTGCGGAGCTACGCTTGAGGAAGCGGCTGCAGAGGCAGTCGGCACTTTGGGAGGCTCCTCAGGGAAGAGTTTCAAGCGCTCAAATCGGTGCTTACCCGGGATTTCAAGAGAAAGGTCTTCATGTGCAGAGGCCACAGCTCACCAACCTGCCTGTCGGCACACATCAGATCTAACAGTAATGGTATGTGACAGGCCACGGCAGTCTATGCCACGAGAGGCCAGACAGTGGCCACCGTGCAGGGACAGTGCCTGGGAAGGATCCTGGGCTCCTGGGGTTGTAACTCTCTGTTCCTTGATCTGGCTGCTGGTTACGTAAGTGTGTTCACTTGTGAAAAGTGAGCCGCACGTCCCGTTTGTAAACAGGCACTCTTCTGTATATCGCCGCGGCGCACTGAAGCAGCTTTTAAAAATGGCACGGTGGTGCTCTGGAATGGTGTAGTAAGACACGGGATTTGGCGGTGGCTGTCACCCCTCCTGAGCTTGTTTTATCTGTTAGCTTTTGACTTGGGAAAAGCCTTGCTTGGCTTTCTTCCCACGGCTGTTGTGAGAATCGGATCACAGAACCACAGCGACGATGAAGTGACAGACTGCGTTCCGAAGCCTGGGCTGCATCACCTCCATCAGCCCCACGAACCTAGGAGTTTGGTCCCCACGTCAGAGATGAGGAAACAGGCTGAGAGGCTCCGTGATCTGTCGGGGGGCCCCTCGGAGGTGACAGTGAGACTCAGACCCAGTCCGGACGGTGCGTGAGACTAGCCGCTGGGGTGAGAAGTCCTATTTCTACTCACTTTACCAGGGTACTTGGAAGTTACTATCCGATATGCTTCTGAGCTATCCCGCAGCGTGTACACAGGCGTCTGCTGTCTTCTGGAATGCCCGAGGGGCGCCGAACAAGAGTGGGGTTCCACCATCGAAGAGGCCGGTTTCCTTGGCAGGCCTGCAGCCTATCCGGCCTGCTGTGTGGGTCTGGGGACCCTACCGCACGGGACCTTGGAAGTCCATACAGTGAAATGGGCAGTGATTGTAAACAATCTTTTATATCCCTCAAAGGTTTGCTGTGGTGTTTCTGCACTTAAAAAACATGGGAACAAAATTTTCTAACCTGCTTTATATATAGCCTTTCAAACAATTTCAGTGAGTTTCGAACCTATTTGTTAAAATATTAAAATGTGCTTTTTCTAATTAGTTTATAAGAGCCACAAACTGACGTGAGTGGTGTACAATCGCTGCTGGGCCCCACTACGGCCCTCAGTGGCTGGGGTCGGGCAGTGCGCGTGGTCCCATCAGCGGGGCCAACACTGCGCTTCTTCCTCTGGAATGAGGCATCTTTTCCACCATCATCAAACCAGATCTGTGAAATGTTGTATATTTTGAAAACCAGTGACTCTTTTTGATCCCAGAGTACACCAAGATTTTTACTATTAAAAGTACTAGGGAGGAGGACCCAAGATGGCAGTGTGAGAAGAGCAGCGGAAATCTCCTCCCAAAACCATATATATTTTTGAAAATACAACAAATACAACTATTCCTAAAAGAGAGGCCAGTGAATACAGTACAACAGCCAGGCTACATCAACATCTGCGAGAACTCAGCGCCTCGCCAAGGGGGTAAGATAGAAGCCCCGGCCCGGCGGGACCCAAGCGCCCCTCCCCCCAGCTCCGGGCAGGAGAGGATTCGGAGCCGGGAGGGGGAGGGAGCCCAGGACTGCTAAGTACCCAGCCCCAGCCATCCGCACCAGAGCGCAGGCACACAGTGCGTGGGGTACTGGATATTAGGGAAACGGGACCGTAAAACCTGCGAGGGGTCCCCCCACCCCAGCAACTGGCTCCCCTGGGACAAAAGAAAAGCTGGTGCTTTTAAGTCTTAAAGGGATAGCGGCTTCACAGCTGGACGGAATCATCCCAGCACACTCAGCCCAGCAGGCTGGGAATACTGAGGAATTTACCTGATGAAAACAAGATCCCAGATTTAAAAAGACATATTATGCACCCCTATGTTTCTCACAGTATTATTTACTATAGCCAAGAAATGGAAGCAACCTAAGTGTCCATCAGTAGATGAATGGATAAAGAAGATGAGGTACATATACACTATGGAGTATTATTCAGCCATAAGAAGAAAACAAATCCTACCATTTGCAACAACATGGATGGAGCTGGAGGGTATTATGCTCAGTGAAATAAGCCAGGTGGAGAAAGACACGCACCAAATGATTTCACTCATATGTGGAGTATAAGAACAAAGAAAACTGAAGGAACAAAACAGCAGCAGAATCACAGAACCCAAGAATGGACTAATAGTTACCAAAGGGAAAGGGACTGGGGACGATGGGTGGGAAGGGAGGGATAAGGGGAAAAAAAAGTTGGGGGGCATTACTATTAGCAGACTAATGTGGGGGGGGGCGCCCAGGGAGGGCTGTGCAGCACAGAAAAGACACGTAGTGATTCTATAGCATCTTACTACGCTGATGGACAGTGACTGTAATGGAGTGTGTGGGGACTTGGTGATGGGGGGAGTCTAATAAACATAATGTTCCTCATGTAACTGTAGATTAATACAAAAAAATATATATATATAGCAATAACATTTTAGGGCAGTTCTTTCTGCTGATGAACAAAAATTTGAAACATTCTTTACTTCTTTTCTCATTTCTATTTTTTGTTTGTGCAAGTACAATATAGTTGGTAAATAAAAGTACAATGTAGATGTGTTTCCAAAATTATTTTACTAACTGGATTGTGCAACACCAAGTGTGGAGAACACTGGTTTACTGGAAGGGGAAGGAAGAGGCATTTAACTTTCTTCCAGATTAATAACTGAGGTAGGGCAGCCCTAAGGAAGGGGGCAGAGTATGCTCAGCCAGCCGGAGGGCAGTGAGTGTTTCCGTCATCACAGGAAACTAGTTTTCAAGCCCTAGAGTTCAAAGTACCACAAAAAAAGTGGGCAGTTTTTTTAAAATCGAAAAAGTTTTTATATACAGTATTATATTGGTTTCAGATGAACTCAGTAATTCACTAGTTATATACAATACTAAATGCTCACTGTTAAGTGTAGTTACCCTGTCACCACACCAAGCTATTAAAATACTGTAAGCTATATTCCCTATACTATATACTTCCATCCCTTAACTACTTTGTAATTTGAAGTGTGTACCTTTTTATCCCCTTCACCCGTTTCATCACCACCCCGTGGTTACCAATGGCCTGTTCTATGTTTGAGTCTGTTTCTGTTTTGTTTGTTCACTGTTTTGTTTTTCGAATTTCACATTTTAAGTGAAACTATATGGTATTCCTTTCTCTGACTGACCTATTTCACTCAGCATAATGCCCTCTAAGGTCTGTTCATGTTGTCACTAACGGCAAGCTTTCTTTTTTATAGATGAGCAATACCCCACTGTAGGCATGCGCCACATCTCCTTCACCCGTTCACCTATTAATGGACACTTCGGTTGCTTCTGTATCTTGGCAGCTGTAAATAATGCTGCGATAAACCCAGGGGTACATATGTCTTTGCAGATTGGGGATTTTGTTTTCTTCAGGGAGACTCCCAGAAGTAGAATTACTGGATCATGTGGTATTTCTATTTTTAACTTTCAGAAAACTTTCCATACTGATGTTCAGAGTGGTTGCACTAATTCGCAATCCCACCAGCAGTGCACAAGGGCCCCCTTTTTCCCCACATCCTCGCCGACACTTGTTATTTCTTCTTATGGACAGCGGCCATTCTGACTGCTGGGATTTCTCCTGGGGTTCTGAGTTGCATTTCCCTGATTAGCAATGTGGAGCATCTTTTCAGGTGCCTGTTGGCCACCTATGTTTTCTTTGGAAGAACACCTATTCAGGTCCTCTACCCATTTTGTAATCGGATTATTTATTTTTTTGGAGTTGAGTTGTATATTTTGGGTATTATGCATAATAGGCACATTGTTTATATTCTCCCACACCATAGCTTGCCTTTTTTGTTTTGCTGATGGTTTCTTTTGCTGTGCAGAAGCTTTTTAGTTTGATGTAGTCCCACTTATTTTTGCTTGTTTCCCTTACCTTGGGAAACATACCCAGAAAAAAAATTCCTAACGTTGATATTCAAGAGTTTATTGCCTGCGTTTTCTTCTAGGAGTTTTATGGTTTCAGGTCTTGTATTTAGGTCTTTAGCCCATTTTTAATTTTTGTGTATGATGTTAAGACAGCGATCCGATGTCATTGTTTAGCATGAAGCTGTCCAATTTTCCCAGCCCCATTTATTGAAGAGGCTGTCTTGTCCCCATGGTATATGCTTGCCCCCTTTGTCATGTGTTAATTGGCCATATCGGTGTGGGTTTATTTCTGGGCTCTCTGCTCTGTGGGTCTGTGCTTATGCCAGCACCACACTGCAGCTTTGTAGCAGTTTAACATGAGGGAGGTATGATACCTCCAGCTTTGTTCTTCTTTCTCAGGGCTGCTTTGGCCATTCAGGGCCTCTTGTGGTTCCAGACAAATTTTAGGATTACGTGCCCTAGTTCAGTGAAAAATGCCACTGGTATTCTGACGGGGATTGCATTCAGTGTGTAGCTTGCTTTGGGCAGGGTGGCCACTGAAACAGCATTGACCCTCCCCGTACCAGCATGGGATGGCTTTCCATGTACTTGTACCGCCTTCAGTTTCTTTCATGAAAATGTTTGAGTTTTCAGAGCACAGATCTTGCACTTCCTTTGTAGATTTGTTCCTAGGAATTTTATTCTTTTTGCTACAACTATAAATGGGACTGTTTTCTTCATTTCTCTTTCTGCTAATTCATTATTTCTATATGGAAAGGTGACAGATTTCTTTATGTTGATTTTGTGTCCTGCGACTCTACTGAATTCATTTATTAATTCTAATAGCTTTCTAGTAGTCTTTAGGGTTTTCTATATATAGTATCATGTCATCTGCAAATACAGATACTTTTACTTCTTCCTCACCAATCCGGATGCCTTCTTTCTTTCTTGTCTGACTGCTGTGGCTAGAACTTCTCATGCTATGTTGAATGAAAGTGGTAAGAGCGGGCATCCTTGTCTTGTTCCTAATCTTAGAGGAAAAACTTCCAGCTTTTACCACTGAGTATGATGTTAGCTGTGGGTTTGTCATAAAAGGCCTTTATTATGTTGATATGTGTCCTCTATACTTTATTGAAAGTTTTTATCATGAATGGATGTTGAACCTTGTCAAATACTTTTTCAGCATCTACTGAGATGAGCAGATGGTTTTCATGTTCCCTTTTGCTAATGTGCTATCACATGCACTGACTTGCAGGTACTGGAACATCCTTGCATCCAGCAGGTGGATGTTTTAAAAGTCAAAGCACAGCAGGAAGGGCTAATAGAGGGGTTTCCTGGACAGAGGAGAGCTCCTTGTATGCCAATGCTTCCGTGAAGGTCGGACCCCAGGACCCCAATTCTCTGAAACCTCTCATTTTTTGATCAGTTGTAAAACAGAATTCTCTAGGCTTAAAATGCTACTGACAGGTTTTCTGATGCTTTGAATGATTATACTGAAATTTGGATTTTGTCATACAGAATCTTGTAAAATTACATGTCTGTTATATTTTGAGATGATATATAATGAGGAAAAAAGTGTACCTGTATATTCACTTGATAATCCGTGGGACCATGAATAGATCCATATAAACCAAATCCAACTATAGAGATTCTTCTATTGACTGTGAACCTGAGAATGAAGCCAAATACAACATACATAATTCAGTGAGCATTCATATTCTAAACACTTATAAATTTTTTTGTTACCTGGAACATCTAATTTTGCTCATAAAAAGGAAAACTATCCCAAATTAGATATCCTTGGAAATGTCATTTGCCTACTAAAAAAACGTTCTAAATTTTAACTTAATGGGAACCTAAGTAGAACTTGTTTTCTATACTGTACATTTTTGAGAGCCCCTTTTTTGTAATGGTAGTTTTAACTATGTATTAGTCCAAATATGTCTGCATGTCTCCTTTATGCAAACAGACATGTCAGCCATTAGGCCTGAAGCCCAGCATCCTGAACGATCACAGTTCAACAGCTTGAGCACTTACTGAGGGCCGGTGAGGTTTAGGTACTGGGCCTGGCACCGGGGCAACGAAGGCCACCTCCTGGGGCACTTATAGCCTAATGGAGGGCACTGATAGCAAGCAATTACACAACAGAATAAATGAGTAATTATAAACTGTGATAAGGGTCTTGAAGGAAACAGGCTGTGCTAACAGGATATTGGTGGTGAAGGCCTGGGAACAGACCTAACTTACACAGGTGGGTCAGACTGAGGTCTCACATGAGAACAATTGGTAAGTCTAGTTTGGCAACAACAGTTAAGAAACGGACCCATCTTAGTCCATTTTTTAAGGCATAAAAACTGACACTAAGCGCACACGGCACGGAGAGGCTGTAAGATCTCTAACACAAGCAGCGATTCTCAACCTCTTCAGTAACAATTTCCACTCTTAGTATTACCGCTTGCACAACCACCGCCACTTCCTGAGCACTCACTGTGCAGGGCCGCGAGCCTCCTCTCTTTACATGAATTATTTCCTTTGATCATCACAACAGCTCTGTGAACTAACACAGTGTTATCTTTATTATCCTCGGTTTTTATAGGTGAAGAAACAAGTTTAGAGAAATGAACTCGCCTGACTAAAAAGTGTGGCAGAGCCGGGACACGATTCCAGGCCCGCTTACGTCAGAAAGCCTATGCTCTTAACCACTATGTCAAGCTACCCGTTCAGTATGAGGGCCACCTTAGAGTTTTAAGTGTATTATTTATAATAGTTTTTTCTTATAAAAAAGCAACATATTCTTGGTTAAAAGTTGGAAAATGCAGCTAAACAGACGAGGAAAAATGTAAAGCACCTCTGGTACCACCCAGATAACCTCTATTTACCCATTGCTGCATTTCCTTTTCAGACTTGTACTTCGATTTTTTTAACAATGGGAAATAAGACTTTTTTCTATGAGCATGTATTATTTGAAAAATCATATAGATTATGTCTTTAACTTCTTTTTCATTTAAAAAAGTAAAAGATTACTACTAATCCACACTATATTCAACTAACTCTAGTTGGAGTTTTCTATGTGTTTTTGTTACCACTTAGCAATGCCACGATGAGCAGTCTTACGGATAAATCACTTTGCAGAGCCTTAATTATTTTCTTAGAATAAATTCCTAGAAGAATGATTGCTGGAGGAATTGGAGAAGAAGAAAACACTTCGTGCCCCACAAGGTAGGAACCAAGATCCTTTCTATCTCACTCTCAACAACCTTGACTATTTTTACTTCCTTCTGCTGCTGAGCAACTGATGACTGACAGAATCTTCTTCACGTCTTTGATTATCAGCGAGCTGACGCCCTTGCTCGTATGCTTCCTGTCCACTGGATTTCCTCTGTGATTAAATCCTCATGCTTTTCTCCCATTTTTCTCTGCTGATGAATGTCTTTTTCATGTGGATGTGAAAGACCATGTTATATAGTCAAGCGTTGTCAGTAATACCCATTACAGAAAGTCCCCTGATTGTCATTTATCATTTAACTTTATGTTGGCTGGGACAAAAAAACTTGTATTATTTATGGTCAAATTAGGATATGATCTATGTCCAGTTTAGAGAGGCCTATCTCATCCTCTTAACAAATAGACATTCGTCTGTTCCAGCAATTTGTTTGTTTTAATGTGAAAACTTTAATTTATACACATATTGGTAGACGGGATCAGTAAGGATCTACGTCTATTTTCCCAGTGGCTGATCCTTCCCTCCCCTTCTAAATCCTTCCCTTATATTCCAAGTGCTCATTCCTGTTAGGCTGGTTTCCGAACTCAAGCGTGTTACATACAACACTGATTTTAACTTTACAATACTTTTCACCTTTCACGTATATTGCTCTTATAAAAAGGGTAAGTTTTACTCTTCCAGATTAACTTCAGGATGATTTTGCCAAGCCGCGGCCCCTCCCTACCAGGCACATGTGACTTGTGGAATGACCTGCGTATACACACACAGGTTAGCTCAGGCAGACACTGTGATTTTAGTTGAAGTTCTCCAGTTCTTCATGAAGGTGCATTTCTTATACTATTTATTCCTGCTACTCTTTGTTGTTACTATAGTGGGGTATGTTTTTCCTCAATATTATAATAGAAAATATAAATTTAAAAAAAATTTCTAGTGTGGCAAAATATGTAACAAAATATATCATCTTAACCATTTTTAAGTGTACAGGTCAGTGACACCAGTACATTCATGCTGTGAGCCACGACCACCGTCCATCTCTGTAACTGAATTTTGATGACATACAAGAACATCATTGGTTTTGCATATACATTTCGTAAGTGGCCACTATTCTCTTTTTTTTGTTTTTTAGATTTTTACTGATCCTAAGGTTATTCGGGTGGATCAGTTGTTCTCAAAAGGAGCTCCACACCCAAGGAGGCACGCTCTATTTTCAGGAAGGTTTAGGGGCGCTGCTGGCAGGAGTCGGGGACACCAGATTTCCTGCAGTACTTACAGCATAGTCTCCCCAGAGTTCCAATCAACTTCCAAGTGTCCTGTCAGAGTTCATGTAGGTGAAAAACTTGTTTACAAATACAAGACTTCAACCTAAGTCCCATTTATTCATAAGCCAAAGATTTTTTATGGCTATTTTAATATGCACTGACTTTTGTAAGAGGTGACTACCATATAAATAGGGCGGGGGTTGAACAGTCAATTCTCACTTTCTGTGCAGTTATAGTCTATAAAGCTGCCACACACAGAATTAGTAAATACTGAACCATTTCTGGTAGGAAGAATATGGGTACATATATACACATACACACACACCCTCACATGGATTATAATCCTGAATGCTAAGAACAAGTCACCCTAGTAGATCCATTTTATTTATTTTACAAAAGACAAAAAAAGAAGTTTCAGAAGTCTCCAGTGACTTGCCTGAGGACCCCCCACCCCCACCAACAGGAGCCAGAGTTAGGAGTCAGCTTGTCCCCGTGGCTGCAGGGCCGGAGTGTCCTCCACTGCACTGCCCAACCACCTCTGGTCTGTATGAGCCGGAATAAGGAAGAGCATTGCTTGTTTGACCTCAGATGGGAACGTGCTCCCCAGACAACGGAAACCCCTCCCATGAATGGCTAAGGAAGCACTGCAAGTGTCGGTTTTGGGGTTACCAGTAAGTTTTGGTGAGTAGATGAGCTCGCAAATACGGAAACTAAGTAAGTAGGATAGGCTGTACTTTGTTTTATTTGGAACCTTTTAAGAAAATAACATAATTAGCAGCACGCTGGTGCATACATATACTGCATCTGGCGGCTGGTGCCGATACACTGAAGTGTATTTTATTTTACTATCAGTTACATTTATTGCTCCTGTACGTTACAACTAAGGCCATTACGTTGACTTAAAAAGTGTAAAGCATACTATCTATGAATTTTATTTCAGGTTAGTAAAGGGGGAATATAAAACATGTATTATAAAAAAGGGAGAACTGGGTTTGGTGGAGTTGAGAACTACTAATGTAGATGATGTCATGTTCAAACAATGAAAACGACGTCTTCCTTCCCAATATTCACGGCTCTAATTTCTTTGTTCTTTATGACTCCATCTATCAGAACTGTAAGAATGGTACCGGAAAAAGCAAGGTAAGCAGGCGTCCCCGTCTTAGGTTTCGACAGTATATCATGTTAAGATCTTCCTCCAGCCCTAGTCTGTTAACAGTTGTCTGGAGTGATGGTGAAATTTTATCAAAAGTCTTTTTAACATCTACTAAAATAACCAAATTGTTTTTCTTCTTTGATCTGCTCCTGTGGTGAATTACACTAAAACATTTGCTGATATTGAGTCATTCTTTCAATCTCCGAATAAGCTCTACTTGCTTGTACACTGTTATTCTTCTAAGGTACTGCTAGATTCAGTATGCTGTTATTTTATGCAGAATTTCTTCTTCTATGTAAGTGAAATTGATCTAGAAACTTTCTGTCTTGTCAGATTCCTGTACAAGGATTATACTTCCTTCAGTAATTATCCAAGAAGTATTTCCTTCTTTTAATGCTCAAGGAGACCATCTGCTCCTTGAAGGGTTAGTAAAACTCACCTGTTAAAACTACCTTGTGAAGGGACAGTTCTTTGATAACTTTAATTCCTTCCGTGGTAACTGGTCTATTCAGGCTTTCTTCTTCAGTCAATTTTGATAATTTATATTTGTCTACAAAATGATCTGTTCCATCAAGATGTTCAATTTATTAGCACAGAATAAACCCAGAATTAAAATAAAAATTTCCTGAGTATTTGATCATATTCCCATTATTATTTCTAAATGTATGTTTTATCACCCTTTGCCAGATTTATTTATTTTATTGATCTTTTTAAGGAACCAGCTATGAATTTATCAATTCTACTATTTTTAATTCATTAATTTCTACATTTATCTATTTCCTGTCTGTTTTCTTATGGTTCTTTTGCTCCTTATTTTCTAGCTACTTGGGTGGAATCCTTACATCATTTATTTATTTCTACTCTAAATTATTTACTCAAAGTAGCTAATCATTACTGTTTTTTTGTGTGACACTTTGACCTCATCCCCTAAGTTTTCGTATGTAGTTTTTTGATTGTGAATGATTTTATTAAGTAGTCCACAAACGCATTTTCATTTCCATTTTAACCCAATATTTATGAGTCCTCCTGCCTTGGAGTTCCATTTTTTAACAAACTTTTTATTAGTTTCTAGTTTTTTACCCAAATGTTATTAAGTAACTGAAAATCCAAAAGGCATGTTTTATGAAAAATGGGGACTTACTCTATTTTGACCTTTAACCAAAAAAACACAGTAAAGCAAAGACAAATTCCTCAAGAGGATTCCACGCGTGCATCTTCTGGGATTCTTGACTGTTTCCTGTTCCAGCTTTTATAAACGTATAGAGATGTTTTCCATGCAACGTCCACACAAAGAAAAACCTCACACTAAACATAGTAAGATGAAATGCATTAAATTGTGACCCTAAGATTGTGAATGATTAAGGTCTAATGGGCTCACCAGCAGGGGTAACCCAAGCAGAATGCATGGGACAGAAAGCCCGGCTGGGTCTTTACTTCATGTCCTCCCAAGAGGTCCTCCAATAATAATTCAGTGAGCAGACCGTGTACCTCAGACTTCTTGACTCTTGTATAATTTACAAATGTGCTAAACAAAGTAACGTGTTGGTTCACTATCTCCCACAACATGAGGCTCAAAGCCAAATGCCGCCCTCTGCCCCAGGCCGCCCGCTAGTCTGTAACGTGACAGATACCTGATCCGGTCGCTCGTCCCACTGTAACCCCAGCGGCTCTCTACTTGCTGGAACCTATTGATGCAGCATTCCTTTCCCCGGAGGCAGCATCTGGGCCGATCAATATAGTCAACTCGGGGTTTAGGATTGACAGTAAAATGAAGAAAGAGATTTACCACTTCACGATCTGACAAGATTCCGGACTGAGCAGGCCCTGTAAATAAAAATAAAAACCTCAGTAAAAGCAATTTGATTTCAATTCCTAACTTTCTGATACTCCACATAATAATGTGAATTCAAATTGGGAAGATGTAAAGTAACAAGGTAAAAAACATCTCAGCATGTATAATTTTTGTATATATTTAAAAGTTTTTCTAAATCCTTTGAGGGCAAACTAGTAGAATGTAGAGAAAAGAATATGGTTAACAGCAAAAGAAGAGACATTATTGACTACATAAACTATTAAGAAGTCTGGAGGATGGAACAGCCTATGGCAGAGAACAACTATGTATACATAAAACTATGAAATACATAAAATAGTTACTTCAAGTTAACCAAGAACAACTCAGGCAGCCGGTGCTTGAGAAGCAAAGTTCATGGAGATGAACGAAGCCCTGTACTGTGCCCACCTTTCCCCTTGGAGTATTTGCTGATTTGCTTTACAGAACATAAACACCAAACAGAAACGGGCAACCTAGAAATTGTGTGGTCCTCTTGGAACTGAGAGACAAAACCTGGAGTTAGAGCTACCAAGACAGCCAGACAATGACGGCGAAGAAGGGGAATATTAGGGGAAAAAATACCAACATGTTGTGTAAGAGAAAACTATGAAAACTGAGAAACCAAGCAGAAAGCAGCTGCTAAGAGACTAAAGAGTTCAACAGAAATTTCAGCTGGCTTATAATGCAGGGGAGAAAAATATCCCGGAATATGTGAAAACTAAGCTATGTACTATAACCCCAGGGGTCAGGAAGAAAAACCACCAGGAAATTTAGAAAAATTTTTTATTGAGTAATAATGAAAATATAACATATCAAAATTTGTGGGGGGAGGGAGGATGCTTAGGTGGAAAATTATAAACTTAAATGTATATACTAAAAATGAATATAGTTGAAAATTGCTCTTCTGAGTATTTATCTCAAAAAGGCACAATGACTAAATAACCCCTAGCAAATTAAAATCAAAATAATAAAAAAGCAGAAATTAATGAGATAGAAAACATACATACAGGGGAGAAACTTAATAAAGCCAGAAGCTAGTTCTTAGAAAAAATTCATAAAAACCAACCAACTTGTGGGCAAGGCTGCCCCAAGAAGGTGCAAGACGCCGACTCAGGGACGCAGGGGAGGACGTGACTCAGGGTCCCCAGACATATAACGATATTATGATATTCATGTTAAATTAAAGGTCCAGCTGAAACTGTTACAAAAAGAAAATATGAATAGTCTTTTAACTCCACTCAAGAAATAGAATCTCTAATTAAAAACCTTCCCCAAAGAAAACAGATCCAGACAGCATTGGTGAATTCCCCCAAATATTTAAGGACCACCACCAATCTTAAATAAACTCTTCAACACTGAAAAAAGAAACACTCCTAAGTTTTGTATGAAACCAGCATAAAATTGATGATCAAAATCTGATAATTTCATTACAAGAAAAGAAAATTACAGACTAACTTCTCTCATGAAGTAGTCATAAAAAACTTAAAAAATTTAGCAAATAGGATCTAGGTAATTCATAAAAAAAAAATGCATCAAAACCAAATCTGGTTTATGTAAAGAATCCAAAGTAGGTTTAATTCGGAAAATCAATGTAGTTAATCAGATTAAAAGAATAAAGGGGGAGACTGTATCATTATCTCAAAAGAGAAGTATTTGATAAAATTCACCATAAAGCTCTGAGCAGACTAGTAATAAAAGGGAACTTCCTTAACCCAATAAAAGTTATCTATAAAAAATAATATGGCAAGCGCACTTTGTGGGGAAACACTTAGAGCTTTCTGCCTGAGATGGAGCAGGAGAGGGCGGTTCACTAGCGGGGCTTCTACTGATACGCTGCAGGTCCCAGGCCTTAGGGAGAAAAGAAATAAAACGTCTTAGGATGAGAAAAGAAGAAGCAGAATTATTACTGGTTGCAAATGGCATGATTGCACATGCCAACCATGTACAGTGACCTACAAATAAATGATCAGAATTAGTGAATTTATTTTAGCGGGTCACTGGACACAAGTTCAATATAGGAAAATCAACTATTTCTACCAGCAAACAATCAATTAGGGCATAAAAAAAAATGTACAATAGCATTTCAAAAACAAAATACCTAGAGAATAAACCTACCAAAAAATGTACAAGCCCTCTACCAGGAAACTCAAAATACTGTTACAAGAAATTTTTAAAAGACTTAAGTAAACATTCATGGATTGCAAGATGCAATATTAGAAAAATGTCAATTATCTTCACACCAATGTATGGATTCCATGCAATTCAACCAAAATCCCACATGGTATGTTTTTGTGGAAATTGACAAGCTGATTAAAAAAAGTTATTTATATGAAAATGCAAAAGACCAAGAATATCTAAGATAATCTTGAAAAGAACAAAGCTTGAAGATTTTTACTATCAGATTTCAAGATTTAGTATAAAACTGCAGAAATTGAAACAATGAACTGGTGCAAGAATAAACAAATGTAACAGTGGAACAGAACAGGCATTCCAGGAATAGATTCATATACACTCCCCTGGTTTACAACAAAGTTGGTACTGCAATGTATGGGGGCAAAGGTGGGTTTTTAATACACTGCTATATGGGAAAAAATGAACCTTGACCTCTACTGCACACCATATACCCAACTGGATTACAGACCTAAATGTTACCTGTAAAGCAATAAAGCTCCTAGAAGAAAACCTTACAGAGTATCTTCATGACCTTGAGGCAGGGAAAATTTTTTTAAAGGAAACAAAAAGGCTTCCCCTTAAAGGAAAAGATTGATCAATTAACTCCATTAAAATTAAGATCTTCCATTTCTCAAAAGACAGAATTAAGATAATAAAAAGGTCAAGATAATATCCCACAGACTGGGATATTAGCAATACATGTATGTATCTGACAAAGGGCTTGTATCCAGAATATATAAAAACTCTTATAAATCAACAAGGAAACAATAAAGACCTGAATAAACATCCTGTGTGTTGGTTACTATCCAATTATTAGCTTCTTTAATCATCATTAATCATCAGAGACACAAAATCAAAACCAATCAAATATGTCCTCACCCCTCATCAAATGACCAGAACTACAAAAACTGACAATAACAATTTCTGAAGAGAAGGCAGAATAATGAGGGTGAACTCTTAACTTTCTTAACTTGGTAGCCGAGTGTGAACTGTTACAACCACTCTGGGCGACTGTTTGACAGGATCCACCAATGCTGAACATAAGGCACCTGTATTTCCTACATACTCAACACAGATGTTCACATGTGTGCACCAAGTGACGTGTACAATGTTTTTGTACAATGTTTTTAATAGCCCCCAAAGAGAACAAACCCAACGCCCAACAACAGTAAAATGGATAAATAAACCATGGCACATTCATACAACAGATTGTAAACCAGTGAAAGAGAATGAGCTACTCCACACACAACCACCTGGGTGAACTAAGACATAACGTTAAGAGAAAGGAGCCACCCACAAATAAGAACACACACGGCACGCATGATTCCCTTTACAGAAAGTAGTCCCCTCTGGGAGGGGTGTGATGGAGACTTCCAGGGTACTGGCAATGTACTGTAAACTGATAAAAGTTAGTGTGGTTAAAGAGATGTGTTCACTTTATTTGTTCACTTTACTATACGGATGTTACATACTTCAATAAAAAAAGTTTACAAGAAGAAAAAACAAACACTGATTCTGACCAGCAAAAAAACAAAAACAAATTGGGAGAAAATTGGAACAGATATGATAAATTGTGAAGAAAAATCTGAATACCTCAACAGAACCACAAAAGTCATGAATGGCAAGAAAAAAATTAAAATGACCAATAAATATAATAAAGTATAATTTTAAACAATCATGAGATATTTTTTCTTGAAGTCAACCTGCCTATACAAATCATATAGCTGAAAAGGGGTTAATATCCAAAATATATAAAGAAGTCATATAACTCAGTAACAAAAAACAATTGATTAAAAAATGGGCAGAGGACATAAATAAGACATTTTTCCAAAGAAGACATACAGAAGACATACAGATGGCCAACAGACAAATGAAAAGATGCTCAACATCAATAATTATCAAGGAAATGTGCATCAAAATCATGGTGAGATATCATCTCACACTTGTTAGAATGACTAGTATCAACAAGACAAGAAATAACAAGTGTTGGCGAGGATGTGGAGGAAAGGGGGCCTCCTATGTTATTGGTGAGAATGTGCACTGATGCAGCAACTACGGGAAGCAGTATGGACGTCCCCCCTAAATTAAAAATAGAACTACCATAAGATCCAGCTAGTCCATATCTGGGTATTTATCTGTATAATACAAAAATACTAATTTGGAAAAATATATGCACTCCTATATTCACTGCAGTATTTACAACAGCCAAGATATGAAAACAACCTAAGTGTCCTTCGATGAGTATATGGATAAAAATGTGGTACAGTAATAGTGGAATGCTACTTGGCCATAAAAAAGAACGAACTCTTGCCATTTGCAACAACATGGATGGACCCTGAAGGTATTATTATGCTCAGTGAAATGAGCCAGCTGGACAATGACAAATACTGTACGACTTCATTTAGACATGGAACCTAAAAATATAACCAAAAACTTACAGGTACAGAGAACAGGTTGGTAGTCACCAATGGGGAATGGGGTTGGGGTAGGTAAAATGGGTGTGGGGGCTCAACTGGAGGGTGAGGAACAGTAACTAGGCTTGGGGTGGTGATCACTTTGCAGCGTATGCAAATACCAAATTATAATGTTGTATACCTGAAATTTACATAATTTATGTACCAATTTTGCCTCAATAAACAGATACACACAGATGTGGCTATGACTTAAAAAGCAGATAATCCTCAATGATAACATGTGTAATGAGAACTGGTCATAGAACTAAGATTCAAAACCAGGTCTGTTCAGAATTATCAACCCAAGATTTTGGAAGATCTGACCTACATGCTTGGGCAAGGCACTTAACCTCTCAGGTTCCATTCTCTATAACCTCTAAAATATATTACTTTTTATACTTATAAAATATTTTTCTTAACTACATAATATATATAACCTATAATATTACCTCGAAGGGCTATTAGGAGAATTAAATGAAATTATACACACAAATATCACATGACCAGAAAGTGACTAATGTTGAAAAAACAGCCTCTCTTCCTCTCTCACACAGGGAGCCTGACCGACTACCCACCCATGAAAACAGTCCAGGTAGAGCTCGTCACCCGAGGGCCTTACCTGCTGCGAACTCCTCGATAGTCATCAGCGGGAACCGGATCAAGGAGAGCGCTTTCCCCAGAACTTTCTGTTTGTTTCCAAAAGTCACAGGCAGTTGTTGTCTCTGACATTCTGCTTCTGCCCATCGCACGACAGCTCCAAAAAGCCGGCTTTCCCTAATGCTCAGCGTGTCTCTTTCTAGAACTGCGCAAAGTGTGTCTACAGGTAAAATACAAAAAAAAAAACAAATTAGGAATATTTTGCTTTTTTTCCCCCTTTTCCCTTTCTTTCTTTTTTTTATTAAGGCATCACTGATATACACTTTTATCAAGGTTTTACAAGAAAAACAATGTGGTTATTACATTCACCCATATTATCAAGTTCCCCCCCAAAAGCCCACTGCAGTCACTGCCCATCAGTGTAGTAAGATGCCAGGGTCCCTATTTGCCTTCTTTGAGCTACACTGTCTTCCCCGTGACCCCACACACACCATGTGCACCGATCATGGTACCCCACCGTCCCCTTCTCCCTCCTTCCCCACCCCTCCCCTTTGGTAACCACTAGTCCCTCTTGGAGTCTCTGAGTCTGCTGCTGTTTTGTTCCATCAGTTTTGCTTCATTGTTATACTCCACAAATGAGGGAAATCATTTGGTATTTGTCTTTCTCCACCTGGCTTATTTCACTGATCATAATACCCTCCAGCTCCATCCATGTTGTTGCAAATGGTAGGATTTGTTTCTTTCTTTGACTGGAATATTTTGCTTTTTAACAATAGTGACAAACATGCTTACATTGTTTTCAAATATCAAAAAGAAGGTTATATATTTAAAACTACAGACTATGCTTAAAAATATTAAAGAATAAAAGGAATTAAACAGCAGTTTTCTTTAAAAACTTACTGTAAGGGTAACATTCAACTTACGTTGCCAAACATGAAGCTTAGATGTAGTATCTCCTTAAATGTCCGTTATACTCACCAAGCAAACTCCAACATCCAGAATGAGATGAAGTCAGAGACAAACGCCCCAAATTAGTACGATAAATTCAGCCTACAGATCACAACCCACTCACCCGTGCGGCAGTCACCCCTCGCTGAGCGCCCCCCGTGCGCAGCCCCTCTCCCACACACTGAGGAGACAGCACCGAGCGGGGGATGGTCACCCTCCCTGGCCCCCACGGAGCTTACACCCCAATTGAATCTTACAGATTCAATAAACAGAAGTAAAATACGTTAGACAATAAATGTAGGAAAAAACAGCCAGGAGAGGGGGCCCAGTGATGGAGTTCACACTCGGACAGTTCGGACCGGCTTCCCCTGCGCTGAGGCTTGCAGGAGGTACGCTGGGGGGAGGCCCGACAGGCACCTGCAGAGGAAGGGCAGCCCAGGGCCGCCCGCGCCAAGGCCCGGGCGCAGCAGCGCGCCTGCCGCAGCTGAACGACAGCCACAAGGCCCGTGCGGCGAGGGAAGGGCAGTAGGCCGCGAGGCCAGGAACACGGGGAACGCGGGGTCCAGTCACACAGCACCCTGAATCATGCAGTTTGTACTCCGAGAGCAAAAGGGAACCCCTGGCGGGTTCTGAGCTTTAACAGCCTATGTTCTAAAAGGACCCCCAGGCAGTGGTGTGGAGGAGCCACAGAGGGCCCAGAATGGGAGGCACAGCAGGTGGGAGGCCCCTGCTCTGACCCGGTCGGAGGTGACGGCGGCCTGGACCAGGAGGAAGTGCGGGGAAGGGCCCGAGCCAGGGTATTTTCTGAAGGAAGACTCGTGAGATTTCCTAACGGATGAAATACAGGGGCTGACGGAGAAGAGTCAAGGATGATTCCGGCTTAGCGTCTAAGCGGTAGGGGATGAAGGCGGCATCAACCGAGACGGGAGAGACTGCAGAGGAGCAGGTTTGGGGGCGTTGAGGGGGGAGGGCTTTAATTTTAGACATATTAAGTTTGGAATACCTGACACCCAAGTACGAATGTCATGCCTGCAGCTCAGGCCCTCTCATCATGGACAACATTTAAATTGGCTCAGTTCCCTCTGAGCTACAGGAGACCAGATGCAGCAAGTTCAGAAAGAGGGGCTTTAGAGGCTGACATACGAGAAGAAATGGCAGGTGCGGTCCAGCAAGGGCAGAGAAGAGAAGAGATTAGGGAAAGGCAGGCGTAAGGCCTTGAAAAGCTTCATCGTGAGGACACTTTCAAAGAGAAAGATCAATAAAGCGAACTTCAAAAGCCTGACGGCCTCACTACAAAATGACTGAAAGTCATGATGAGCACGTCTAGTCACAGATTCCTACATGGCAGTCAACACACAGTGTTTAACAAGGGTGGGCGGCGTAGAGTGCGTGTTAGGCGTCCTCCTCAAACGGCCGAAACAGATTTGGTTCTTAAAGAAGCAAAGGTATGGAAGACGACAACTCTCCAAAGAGCCTCGACAAAGCAGGCACTGTTATAAACCAAGTTATACCTTAAATGTTTTAAAAAATCAGGATACCATACTTACATAGAGCAAAAAATTTTTTTAATTGCATATGATTTTCATGAATCTGTAAGACACATCTAATATATCAAAAAAAGAAAATTCTCTATTGCAATGGTGTACACATCCATCTGCAAGCAAGCTCTTGGTGATTCCAGCAAAGGCATCTCCATCCCCAGAACACAGCAGGGGCTCAACAACGTACTAAGAATAAACAGGTCAGACACAATTCTTTAAAAAGTCAAGTTCTTCCTTCTCTTGCCCCTGAGAAGATAGGTATAAACTAAGGCCTCATGGAGCCTTTCACAGTTAAATAAGTGTAAATCAATATGCCTCAGTATTGTAAGACCAGGAATGACCATAATAGCTAACCATTATCAGTATGATTCATAAACATAATGGATTTTAATATAAACTGTGAATGAAATCAAATCAGAAAATTGTTTCTAGGCTATCTACCCTTGTGCAAGGCACCTATTTCAAGATTCCCAGGCTCCACTGGCACACCTACTGTGGCAGCTACTTACAAACAACTGCCAGGAGTGAGCCACCAGCGCACAGGCAGTGTTACTTCAAATGGGAGGAGACTGAAGTACGCGCAGAGCACCCGACAACCCCCCAGGGGACAGAAACCGGGATCCGGGAATGCCTCATGACAACGTGGGTGCCGCCTGGAGCTCTGGAACGCCCAGCAACCTGCAGACGTTCAGTGGCACCTGGTGTACCCCGGGGAGGAACCTGATCAGGTCTCCGCCCTTCAGGACACTGCACGCTGAGCACAGATCGCTCCCAAGGCCCTGAGCGGCAGCTGCGATGTGTTGTCAGAGAAGGGGAGGGGGTGTGTGTGTCAGTTCTTAGGAAAAGTCACTGCAGAAGTACCACTGATCTTGAACAACATGGGTCCGAGCTGTGTGGGTTCACTTACATGGGGATTTTTTTTCAATAAATACATTGGAAAAATATTTTGAGATGGGTGACAATCTGAAAAAATTTTCTCTAGCTTACTTTATTATAATACAGTGTATAATCTATGTAATGTACAAAATATGTGTTGTTTATGTTTTTGTTTATGTCATTGGTAAGGCTTCTGGTCAACAGGCTACTGGTAGTCAAGTTTTGGGGGAGTCAAAGCTATACATGCATTTTCAACGGAACAGGGGGTCAGTGCCCCAATTCCCATGTTGTTCAAAGGTCAACTCACTGTCTGAGCCAAGACACTAGAACTGTGTGAGAACTCGCCATGGTGGGAAGGCAAGGCCACACTCCAGACATGGTAAGTCCAGATGGTCAGCAGACATGACTGGGACACGTATGATGTCCTGTGTCTCAGGGCTAGTGCTGCGATGGAAAAAGGGACAAAGGTCTTGCCTTCAGAGAGTTTACAGTCTAGGTGGGGAAGGTAGACAAACACACACAAATACCTAGGTAAGACTTTGGGACAGTGACATGCATTATAAGGAAAATAAAGCAGAGCAATGGAACAGAGATTGTTTAGGGGAGCGCGGTATCCACTCTAAGGTCTGAGGTGACATGTCTCCGGTCTCATCAGCCTGACATCCAAATGATTAAAAGGAGGGTAGCCATACAAAGGTGTAGGGAGAAGGGTCCCAATCAGGAAGAACAGTAAATACGAAGGCTTAACACAGAAATAACCCTAGCCAGTGTGCGTGGGGCACAGAATGACAGGGGACACGATCAGACGCAGACAGAGGCAGGGAGTGGCTGCCCGGCTGTTGGCAGGAGCGTTTCCTCTCCCTCCTGGGTGTGGCTACTCTGCCTCCCGAGCCTCCTCTGCGGGTGGGTGGGCGCGAGGGACTGGATTCTGGACAGTGGAATAGAAAACAGAATGAGGGTGCCATCTCAAGGCCAAAGCTTTTCAGATGTGGGTGTCTTCCCTGCCTAAGCTTTTTTCCACCTGCCAGCAGGACACAGATAGTGACAGGTAATATGTAAGACATGACACTATATATGAACGTATACAGTAATAATATACAGAGCACATGCACTAATATATATAACTGATATGCATTTTGGGTTCATCATGAATATACTGTTTAAGCCTGCACGCCTGGATTCCCCACACCCGCGCTCCCACCTCTGCCTGTTCTCCTCGCGTGCTCCCCGGCCTCTAGGACACCCCCCTTCACACTCCACACACCATCCATTCTTTAAGGCCCGTGTCAAATCCTCCTGCTGAGATTTTCTTAACAGTACTCCAATTTGAGGTAATCTCTCCATGTTATGGATTTGCAAAGGAATTACTCTCTATCTTAGTTCAAAAAAGACACATTCTAGTGTCTTAGATCTTAAATTTCACTTATTTGTTCCTTGATTCTCCAATTAAGATGTCAGTTTCCTTAAGAAAAATCCATCTTAACCTTCTTGGTATTTCTTAGAGGAGCCTAGCATAACGCTGAATAGATGATGAGCATTCAATGAATATTTATTTCATGACATATTTATTTCAGGCAATAAAGTAGTTAAGACTTTGAGGAATATTTCACCACAATAAAGAAAGCAAAACTCTTAGAAGCAGACTTAAACAATTTGGAAGAAAGAACTTAAAAACAGCTCATCCAGGAAGGCTGAGTAATGTCACTGTGCCTACCGGTAGATTTCTACCCCCCGGGGGACTCACCTATGTCCACGTCGGTGAAGCCCTCCGCGCTTATTGCGTCCACCGTGCTCTTGTCTATTGTGTCTAGACAAAGACTAGCAAGCTGCGGTTCATCAAACAATCGAGCCTAAACATTTTAAAAGATACTTATTTTAGTTTTGTAGTTAATTTGCCTTCAGGCTGTATATATTCAAAGTTAATATTAATGGCTGATTATATAAAAGCACCTACTTTAAAACCACAGTTATAGTGTCCATGTATTCTTAAAACTTTTCATTTCACAATCAGAAATGAAAAGCTAGAAGCACAAATGCCCTGTTGACAGAACAAAGTCACATTACCACCAGCAGCACTGCTGTTTTTACTTTCACATGCTTATACATATATTGCCTACTTTCCTATATATTACTCATTTTGATCCTTAACAAACACTCTAGGTCAGATAAAGCAGATATTAACCCATTTTCCAGATATCGAAACAGAAGCTCAGAGAGGTATACTGACTTTTAATATCATCTGGCTAGTTATGTTGCCCAAACAGTACTGAAACCCAAGTTTTTGGATTTTCTAACTAAATGCTATCAACTGTCAAGCATCCCAGTACAAACACATCAAATTATTTTTTTTCCTCCATTTTCTGTCTTGACTGAGGGGGAGAGAATGAAGTACTTTATATAAAAAAGTATTTTATATAAAAATGAACTATTTTATATAAAAATAATTTCTAACGTAAAGCATGAAAGCTCTAGGAACTACGGGAAAAACTAGGCCTAACAGAAAAGCAAATTAATAAATTCACATGATGGAACATAACAATGAGAATGGACCATATAACTACATACAACAACATGGATGAATTCTACAAACATGATGATAAACAGAAGCCACAGCACATACTGAGCAAAAGAAGATATTTCTGTACGATTCCAGTAAAGCTCACCCAGGCTTTAAAAAGTCAGAAGTCAAGCTTATAATATGTGATTAATCAGGATGCATATTTTAACTCAAAATGAGTTTAAAGCGGGGAGGGACGGTAATATCCAAACTCCCATGAGATCTTTGAAATCCTTAACTCTGAGAAAGGAGATGTGACGATAGGTATGCCGATGACCAGTCTCTCATTCTGGCCTAGGGTCAGCTCTGCTTACATTTAATAGTCTGGGCAAACGCAAAATGCACAGAGGTACTCATGCTGTGCATTTAGGCTCCTGCAGAAACCCACTGAAAATGCTGCCAATTAACTGACCACCCCGTAAACACCACCATTATTTGGCAGGGTTGATGACCCTTCATTTAACATTAAAGTAAAATTCATTTTCAAAGGATTTGATAACCATATGCTACTGAACAATGAGAAGTATCTCCAAACAGTTATTCTGTGTTTTATGAAGGAGAGAAAAGAGCATTAAACACACTGGCTTAAATTTAAAATAGATATATGTATTATATGTAATATATAATTATTATATAAAAATATTTTAAATCAGTAGAACACGTCTTAAAATTACAGAATCCTCTAATATATTTGAAAATGTTTTTCTTAGATTATATACTGGGCTTATTTATGTTAATTTGTTGGGTGAAATTTTTAATACATTTTAGCCCTAAATAATGATATACAGAATCTGTTTTAATAGAATAAAATTAACTCTATTTCATGAAATTTTCCCTTGAAATTTTATATAAAAATAATTTCAAATTTATAAAAAGTTGCAAGTAAAAAAAACAGCCCTTTCCCCAAATGTACCTATCTAAATGTTATTTATCTAGTATTTTGCTTCATTTATCATTTGTGCTCTCAATGTACATCACACAAAATACATATGTAAATGGCATAATAATCCCTGCCTTATCTAACCCAGAGGGCTCATTAAGGATCAAAATAAGTCATGTGTAAGAAAACAGGCAATGTATATGTGCATGTGGGTATATATATTTGGAGCAGGGGAGTGCTGACCCATTCATTAATAAATTACATACATCACAGACCTTACCCTTAAATACGTCAATTAGCTTTGGTAAATCGTACAGTATTTTTGTCTAACCCACTGTCTATATTCCAGTTTTGACAACTGGCATATAATGTTTTTTAATAACACTTTTCCTCCTAGTACAGTTGCCAGTCTAGTATCATAGTTTAGGTAAAGTGTTTAATGAATGAAATTTTAACATCAGCAAATATTTTAATTGACCAACTCAACTATATTTTTTAGTGTTCATGTAAAAACTGATCTTTTACTCTAGGAAAAAGATTTTTATTAAAATTATTTTATTCACAATAGCACTATTTCAGTTATTCCTTAGATTACATAGGTAATATCAAGTTTCCCACGGAATCTATCGCTGCTATGTAGAGTAAAATAAATTAATTGACTCAAAATTCAGACTGTGTCTGATATTACCTCTCATAAAATATCACTTCATATGATTGTATTGCTTCATAAGAACTATTTTTCCCTGTATGAATCACGCTGGTACAGTAAACTGGCCTTTGTCTTAAAGTGCAGCTGGCACAGCTCCCAAGTAACTGAACATGCTTGGTTCAGACGACCCCCTGCGCAGGAACAAGCACACATGACACTCCGTGGCCTCAATCACATGACCCCACCGATGAAAAATAAGTGAGTGACACCAGGCGCTCAGGCGGTGGTGACACACTAACAAGTTCCTTTTTCTCTCTAGTGGTACCTGTGAACCCTTGCTACTCAGAATCACTAGAATCATCTTAAAGCCTGTTGGAAATTTAGACTCACAGGTCGTAGTTTGTACCTACCGAACTAAAAACTGTATTTCAACTGTCAAAGTTTAATTTATTAGTTTCTGAATTTTATGACTGAACTTTTAAAAATAAAAGTAATTAAGTGGTCCTTTCCACACACATTAAAACCCCTTGGAAAATAAAGAATCTCATGAATATCAACTTTCTTATGTGGTCTTCATCACAAATTCAAAAGGGGAAAAAATGCACAGAGAACGTTATCAGCCACAGGACCACAGTCAAGTCATTTCTCCTCTCTGTGCCTTACTCTTCATCCGCAGAACAGCGACAGCGACAGTAAGAGAGCCTTTAGGAGGACACCGGCGCCTCCTGAAGTGACCGTGGGCATTAAGTGCAGCAACGCACACAAGCGGCTGAGCAGGGAGCCCAGCACCCAGCGCCCCCTCACGTGTGCCCTGGTGCCTCATCGCGTCACACGCCGCCAGCACTCAGCTCTAGGGCTGAGGCCGCGTTCTACCACTTGCTGTCTGGGCTTCCAGTGCATCTTAACATGGGGCTAATAACAGTAAACAACGTCACAGAGCTGTAATGAGGACTGATTGTCGTAATCATGCCAAGGGACTCGCTCAGAGTCCGGCCCGCTGCAGGTGCAGACACGGGGTCCTGCGGTGACGGGCAGGAAGAGGTAACAGGAGCAGGCTCTGCTCCTATAGGCACAAATACTCAACGGAAGAGGATTTTTTTCAGAAACTGTGCTATACTTTCTATACAACAGAATGGACACAGAACTGGGGAACACGATGGGGCTCTGGCCCCATCCAGCCTGTTGTGAGACTTTAGGCAGTAGTTATGCGACCCAGGCTTTAGGTTTTGCATTTGAAAAATGAGAGGGCTGAGCTAGGGGACACCTGTGATTATTCCCAGTACTAACAGTCAGTAGGACTATAGAGTATCAGCTGAGATATTTTTCTCCCTCATTTTAACCTGCCTCTGGAAAGACATGCTATCTCCAAGTAAGATCACATTCTGAGGTACTGGGAATTAGGATTTCAACACGTGAACTGTGGGGGGCACAACTCAACCCATAACAACACATGGTCATAGGCTACCTTAGAGTTTTTAAAACAATTCATACAAGGGTGTTGTAACATTGTTAAAAAGAAAATCAGCAAGTTATTTACATCTAAGGTATGAAGCTCAGATTACAGGCATTTAACAAATGCTAAGTAGTATACGGTAAGGCCTGGCTAATGGTTCCACAGATGTGTTTAGTTTGTAAAAAAGCTCATCAGACTGTACACTCAGGACATGTGTACTTTTCTGTATGTATACTGTACTTAGTGAAAACTTTTTAAATGTCAGAAAAAGTATATTTCAAATAAGACTTAAATTCTAACTTTCCCAGGAAGCAAGCTCACAGATTTAAGTCCAAAGACAGTAATCTCCGAACTTTTTTGGACTTGAAATACTCAAACTTTACTCCAAATCCAACAAAAATTGACAACAAAGATGTCTGGAAAACTTCACGCCATCGTATGTGCAATCACAGCAGGAGCTCTGCTGGATCCTGACCCCAACTCCAATCCCAAAGAGCTGTGTAACTGGGTCCCAACACCCCATTCATATAAGGTTCAGCTTCTTTACCAATATGATACTGTACTAATCCTCATCTGCTTTTCTATCTCAAATCATATACATCTGGTGTAGTTCCCTAAATGGTACTTTAAAAATAATTTACATATACAGTCAACCCTTGAACATCACGGGACTTACGGGGGCTGACAACCCACACAGCTGAAAATCCTCACATCTCATATAACTTTAATTCCCCAAAAACTTAACTACTAATTACCTACTATTGACCGGAAGCCTTACCAATAACATAAACAGTTGATAAACACATATTTTGTATGTTATATGTATAATTATATACTTTATTCTTACAATAAAGTAAGCTAAAAAAATTTCAAAAAATTTTTTCCAATATAGTTACTGAAAGAAATTCGCACAGAAGTGGATGGACCCCTGAAGATCAAACCGTGTGTTCAAGGGCCAGTGTACTTCAAAATGACGACACAGAACTAATTCTCCAGGAGATAAATATTCATATATGGTTATACTCAACTTTTAAAGCTACAGTGACACACACCTTAGCTACATTTACTTACCTGAGTAAGCAGCATAAAGGCATTATCTGCCCTAAGATGCTTGGTGAGAAATTCCACACAATGCGCTTCCAGGGCTGGAACTGCGTATTTCTTGGCCGTATAGAGAGTGGTCATGACTGTTTCTGGGCCAATCTGAACTTCATCCGAATATAGAAATCTGTAAAGCAATGGAGAAATTGCAGAGATGGACAGTAAACAATCCATCACAGTTCAACCACTAAGGAATATTTTATGAGGTAATGAGCAAACTGAAAAATAACCTGAAATTTGGATGAATTTCCAGGGCTACAGGGCATTTGCACATACATCATCTCCTTTTATTCTTACTCAACTCTGACAGGTAGGTAGTCTTTCCATTTTACACAGGAAACCAAAGTTAAACACCCAAAGGATCACCAGACAGACCCACGTCTCTCAGCCTGGTGTTCACAGGTCTGTCGGCACCCAGCGCGGCTCAGGAGGGCAGCACTTCGCCTCTCCGTCCTTCCCAAGGAGGCACGCTTTGGCCCATCAGCAGAGAACCGAGTGCGCATCTCTGTCAAAATATTCACTTACTCCCTCATAATGGTGCTTCTTATTCTGGGCATCGTTTACCCTGTCACGACTAGCAAATAACCAACGACGAGGAGGAACAAATGACGCTACTCTCTTAAATGACCCTTTTTATCACGTGCTTTTGGGTACTTGGTGCCGTCCCCTCCCAGAACACTATCAGGCCAATACTGCCCCCACACCAGGTTCCAGCTGCCGGCTCACTGGACGTCAGCCTCACGGGGCTGCGGGTGGGGGCCGGGGCAGCTCTGCGCACCTGCAGGACCCCTGTGCCCCTGTGCTCACTGCCCAGTTCTCAACAGCACCAGGACAGCGAGAGTGCTGGAGAAGCAGGGCGTGAGGAACACAACCGTGTCTGAGCCAAAGTAAAGCCCAAGGCATCAACCAGTGTGGAAGAAAACCCACTGCCTCTTCCAGAACACGCCCCTACGCCCGAGTGGGTGAGGAGGGTAAGTTCCACCTCACGTCCCTCCCTCTGCCTTCCATCTTCCTCTTCTCTTATCCCCGTGGCCATGGCCACCACCCAAGATGAACCTCCCCCAGCTGATTACACCCAGCTTCTCCCCTGGCCAAACGCTGGTGCTGCCCCATAATCATCACCATGCCCACAACGCCGCCATCAGGCAGAGGCTGCTCATGCCCACACTGCCCCGCCTCTGGGGCGCAAGAGGGCTGCTGCTCTGCAGGATTACACGGTTTCACAGCATTTCTTCCAAAACCTCCTTTCAGAAACTCAAGTCCGCCATCTCTCCCACCCTCCAAACACTCCCTCAACATTACGTGCCCCACTCTGTGGTGAGTGGAGGTCAGTAAAAGCCAGGTAGGGCACAGTCCCTTACAGTCAGGGGAAGGGGGATGACAGAGAGGGAATTCCCATCTGCTGAGCCATCTACCACGCGTCAGGTGCCGATGCAGTTAATTCCCCTGCAAGGAAGGCAGGGGCCAGTACCTGCATTTTAAAGATGGGGAAACACGAGGGCTGTCTAGGCGACAGCCCTGCTGGGCACCCGCCTGCCTCACGGGACAGAGCTGTGTGCACGGAGCCCATCTGGGCTGCAGCTGGGCCCCAGCACCCGACGCCACGAGTGCACCTCCCCAGGAGTGCAGAACAGCACGCCCACCCCACCGCGCTCTGCTGAGGATCAATGTAAATTTACACATGTCAACGGTTCTGAATAGTGCCTGACACATACTTCGCCTTGATGAACGTCAGCTTTCTTTCTACATTGCCCCATTTTCCATCTCTATTTCCCACCACGGCTTAGGTCCCCCCTGCCAGCCTTCCTGCTGCCTTTCTCCCCGGCAACCACACACTGAGGCGCCTACAAGTTCTTGGGGCTCCCTCACTCCGTTCTCCTCCGCGGCATCATGTCTCAGGTTTACGAATGCAAGAATGTTCTCAATTCTCAAGTCTCCTAGACGGTATAAAGCTAAGTTTCAAAAGTTCCTTTCTGTTCCCTGAATTACCCGCGTCCTTGAGGATTAGCTAGCTGTTCTCGGTCTTTCTCATTCAGGTTCTGACCCTCCCTGGCGTCAAACGGTAACGACTGTCTCTAGTTCGGGATCGTGGAGGCCGCTGTCTTTGCTGCTGTGTAGGTAGGTCTGTTGTCCCGCTAAAACCAGCTCCAAAACGGAAGGGTTGGCAGGAGCTGTGTGCGGGAGGCTTGCTGCCCAGCCCCCTGCGCTGTAGGGAACTGGCTTTCAGTAAGGCCCCCCAGCACTGGTGCCCTGCAGCCCCCGAGCCATGCCGGCCTCCAGCTCTCCCCGGGCACTTTGTTCAGTTCACTTAAGAGGAGCCGTCAACTGTCACCAGGAGATCTGCCAGAGCTGGTGGGGGGGCGCCATCAGCAGGCTTTAAACTGAGTCTCGCCTTTGAGGCCCGCTTCTCATTTCACCTCCTCACTGGAGCCTTGCTGGGGCCCTGGGCTCCAGACTCACCCCTCCATCTTATCATCCCTGCTTCCAGCTGCCTTGTCCCGTTTCCACACTGTTGTACTCCAACCCCTCTGCACCGTAACGCGTTTATTCCCTGGTCTATTTCTTTACAGCCCCTTCACTGGGACAGAGAGAAGGCTGACAGCTGCTGGGTCTCCTTCCTGAACTAGAAACCTATGAAGTTTTTTGTTTTAAAGGTGAGGTAAGAATCTTTACATGTGCTTGAATTTTTTTCCCGGGCACACATTACTAGAGTTACGCAGAGCAGCGCTGCGGGCCTGTGTCGCCGTCCGCCTTTGGACGAGTGCAGAGCTGCGGCCTCAAGGAAACGACTGGCACACAGCTCTGGTGCAGAGCTCGTGAGCGTGTCCAGTGCGGCCGACAGGGAGGCCCGGGAAAGCTTCCTGGAAGGACTTCCACCCGAGAGGAGACCCGGAAGAGGACAAGAGGGTGGGAAGTACATTTCAGAAACAAGAAAGAATTGGGTTTTTAGCCTATTCTGCGTGAGACACTCCCCCAAGGAAACTGCTCTTCCTAAGTCACCCTTCAGTGATGCACCTTCGGCTTGTACCCAGGATTACTTTAAAGGAACATCTCTATCTGTATTGATAGACATACGCTGAGGACTGTTTCAGTAAAGCCTTCTCTAGGAGGCGACCTCACCAAGAATTTTTTTTAGGTTTTATCATCAGATAGACTTGTGCATCTCCTAAGCAGTTGGTTTATTTTTAATATGAGAAACTATGAATTGTACTGACTAATCAGGTTTCTCTTTTCACATTAGCTGCTAAAATGACTAATATTAAGTCTGTAGCCTACCTACTGCGTGCATTTTTGTATTAGCTTCATCTGGGCTCCATTTTCTTTCTTACCCTTGCGTTTCTTAAAAGACACTGGTTCTTTTTGGAGTAGCACAGGTTACAAATTAATACTGTACTAAACAAATAAGAAAAGGAACTCTATGTTTCTTATATTGTTTTCCCTACAACTTTCCTACAGCACCAGGCATGGTGTTGGGACCTGGCTAAGCCTTAATACCTGTGAGCTGACCAGACAAATCAACGTAGGTTTGCATTTAACACTGGTAGGGAAACAATTTTCACTTCTGTTAAGAAAAAAGACTGCTTAAAAATCCAAGAATCACCTTTGTTCAATTTTATTTACATTTTCTTACATTGTTTAATTATTAAAATTGCTATAATTTTTTAAAAGCCAAGGTTTACAAAATGTAATTAAAAATTAAACACGATATTACCACAATTCTTTGTGTTTTAAAGTGAACATTTCAGCTCTTATATACAACCCTTAAGGACAAGACAGAGATATACATTTAAAAATTATATCATCAAACCATTTCCTATTTTCTCCCCAAAGAATGGTTTTCCAAAAAGATAAAACTTAGGTTATGCTTAAGTAAAAATACTAAAAGGCTAAGGTGAAACTTGATTTTAAATTAGGGAAATCACAAGATCATTCTAAGAAGCACATGGCTACTCATTCATTCATTCTCCAAAAAATATTTATTGGGGGACTACAAAATGCCAGGCACTGTGACAGATACCAGAAATACAAATATGGGTAAAACAGCTCTGCCCACAGAAAGCTTATGGTTTGATAATGAAATGATCACAAGTAATGTCGTAACAGAACTATATGCATAGTGCGACATTGATTTCTAAGGATGGCTCCAATAAATCATACCTTCATGCAGACTTGCCACATAATAAAGCTGGGCAGCTCCTGTGTGACTCCCTGTGTCGCCCCACCAGCAGTGACATGTTGCTGGTCTGGAGCCTAAACTTTGAGGATTTTGAGGATGGCTGGCAGCTTCCGCTTCTGCGCACTCAGAAGCCATGAGCTTCTATCCAAGAAGTAAGCCCTGCTTGGAAGTTAGCAGCAGGAGCCAGCAGGGAGGGAGAAAGGCCCAGTCATCCCAGATTCGGAGTCAAACGTCCAGATGACACCACCCCAACTGCCATCTGAGCCCAGCTGCCCGGAGACCTGAAGGAGGTGTCGGAAGAAGCACCCAGCTGACCTCTCTCGACCCACACGACTGAGAGAAAGAATGAACCTGTTTGAGCCGTAAGTGTTGGAGTGATTTGCTCCACGGCAGTAGATATAAAACTTGCTGTAAGAGTTAGATGAGGCAGAGCCCAACTCTGCTTGCAACTGTTAAGAATTAAGTGATGTTTTGTAGAAGATGTAAAGCCTGATGGATATCTGAAGTGTAGAGAAGATCTTCTGGGCAGAAGGACGGAGAAATACAAAGGCAGGGAGGCCTCAGAAGGCAGGCATTGTAAGACAAAGGCCATTTGGTAGTTAGAGTTGGGGTCCTGATTAGATGTGCACAAAGGCCTCGTGCACCTGTCCAAGTGTTCAAACTTCATCCGACAGGTGAAAAGAAGTCACTAAAAGATGCAGGGGCAATGAATTTGAGGGCGATACATGGCTACTAGAGAGAGAACTTTGTTAGCAGTGTGAAAAATGGAGAGAGCGAAGTCTAAAGGCAGTGGTTTGGTTGAAGCAACACAAATTAAATCAGAACCCTCAGGAATGGTCCAAAAAGGATGAGAAACAGGTGGAACAGACTGGGCCCAAACTACAGTTTGGAGGTCAGTCCCCTACTGACCCACTGAGAAAGAATATGCACGACAAGAGTAAATGATTGCTTTCTTAAAGCCGCTTAGTTTTGGGGTGCTTCACAGTATCACTGTGGCAAAAGCTGACTGATAACAAGAGCATAATATTCAGCGTGCCTGCTCAGACTGTTCTGAAACTCCAGGTCCCCATTCGAGCAGTCACTCTCACGATCCGCCTTGGGTATCTAGGAATTCTCCGTCCTGCCTTCCAAGGATACCCAGATGCCGACGGCTTCTCATCGCGGCCACTGCCATCACTCTGGTATGACCCACCACCGTCTCCTGCCTGGACTACTGGCAAAAAGCCTCTTAATTCAACGTCCTGCTCCTATTTTACTCCTGCTACAGTCTAATGTCCAAAAAGCTGCCAGAATGAATTTTTTAAGAAGTAAATTAGGCACAGTATTCCCCTACTCAAAACGCACCAAAGACTTTCCCTGTGGCACATCAGCTGAAGCTCCAAGTCCCTGACAGGCCGTAGGGCCCTGCACGACCCTGTGCAGCCTGTCTTTGTGACCTCTTCTTAGTTGAGGGCCTTGAATTCGCTTTTCCCTGCTTAGAATGCTCCTGCCCTCATGCCTTGATAGTTTTTCTTCAAAACACGAATCATACTTGACATTAAGTCTCTGCTTCTCCTTGCTGGATGGTAAGCTCCGTGCGGAGACGCCTCTGCTTGTTCACAGTGGCATCCGACATCTAAACGAGGGCCTGGCACAGGGGACGCACACATATTTCTCAAATGAACAACTGAAGGACATCACTTAGAGGTCAGGCAGATCAAAAGCAGTTTCTTAAAGTGGCTCAAACTCAAGTTTAAAAGCCTTTAATGTTAACTAACTCAAGTCGTAAACATCGTAAAGGTAAACCCAAGCTAACCCAAGTTGCTTTCCCAACTCAACACTACCACGAGACACGTTTTTGTCACACAATGACAGGTGAGTAGGTGTGCTTCGTACCAGCCAATACAGAGGTGGAAACAATCAGCCGGGACGTCACCATGAGAACAGTACAGGGCCTGGAACCTGAGGACAGGCACATGACTACGCTAAAAACGGGGACATGACGAGCAATCTAAAATTAACTCATTTAATTTTCTACTGATGTGAAAGGACTAACAGCTCCAGAGAAAATTCAAAATAAGCATTTTCCCCTCTACAGTCTCAACATTTTCTAAAAGAAAAAGCTCAACAGTATTTTTAAGATGAGTATTTTAAAATTTTTAGATCTCGAACTTAGCTGGTGTCAGTACTTGGAGTATTAAATGACCCGCAGGTCCCTCCTGCAAACACGACATTACTGTGGGGGGGGGAGGGATCAGCACCGGGGAGCACAACACAGACGGGCCAACAAGCCACTCAGACACACGAAGTCCAGAAAATCTAAACGGGCTGTGACTAGTCTTCCAAGTCGACTTCAAACTAGATCCTAGCTTTAGAGTTGTTTTCTCCCCCTTTATAATGTAACTGAACTAATTCGCAGAAAATACAGGAAACAAAAGAAGGAAGAACAGGAACTCTCGGCTTCCAGCTCCCGCACACTCTGGCCAGGGGTTTGGCGGCCTCCTTCCCCGTCTGCAGGTATGCGCGTTCCGTTTCAGTTTTGAACGGAAGCGGCCAATGCTGTTTATGAGGCACATTTTCCCCGTGGCTGGTACTGCCCAGTCTCCGGTTCGTAGCGCACGTGGTTACATTCCAACAAGTGCACCTGGCACTCATTGTTTATCTGCTCCTGTCCTCCACCTGACTCCTTCCTCACAACTATAAACACTCCAGCTTTAAGTATTTTTGTATGCAACATTTTTTCAGGACTTGAATACTTCCCACCTGTGGCCCAAAAAACGTACAGTGCCAAGCTGCTCACCACTAACTGTCAGGGAGGGAGAGCTCCTCCGATGGTATCTTTAAGAAACGGGAGGTTTCAGTAGAAGAGGACAAGCACTTCGCTTTTAATTTGCACTTAATTAATGACGAATAAGGTTAGACGTTCTTTGCTGGTTGTGTTTTCCTTCCCTACATTATCTATCCTGCCCTTTATCCGTTTACGAATGGGGTCGTGGAGGTCTCTGCCTAGTCGCGTTAGCTTTGTCCTCCATTCCCTAGGCGTCCCTGCCTGAGCGGCGCGCCTCTGTGGGCGAGTGGTCTGTTCACTGACCTGTTTTTGCCTCGATCCCACCCAAGACTCTGCTACACCTTCCCGGCACGGTGACACACTGGTCTTCGCGGGGCACTGGCTCTGTCGCCTCGGGCAAGTCACTTGACTTTTTCTGGGTCTCCGTCCCATGGGTAAAACTGCGGACAACACCTCACCTCCCTAACCGGACTTTTGCGAATAAAAGCTAGTAAATGCCACTCTATTAGCTCCCTCACACTCAACAAAACTGACCACGAGTCAATCTCCTCTCCTCAATCAAGAAGCAAACTGACACCGACGGCAGGATTCGTTTTTAAGCCAATGTGACCTTGTCTCCGGGGGCGCAGGGCGGGCGGAGCCGCGCCTGCCCGGGTGGGTGCGCGCTGCCGGGCCTCGACGGGCAGGACCCAGGGCCCCGACACGGCCGGGCCCGTGGGGCTTTCCGCGTCCCCGCCCCCCGAGCAGAGGGCTCTGCAGGCGCCCCAAAGGCAGGGCGCGGGGCCGCCACGCGCACCCCGGGGCCGCCGCGCTCACCTCAGCAGCGCCAGGAAGGCGGCGGGCTCCACGTCGGGCAGCTCGATCTCGGCCGACGTGGTGGCCATGCCGCCGTTGAACATGGCGTCGAAGACGGCGCTGCCGGCCGCCAGCACGAAGCGGTGCGCGGGGATGCGCTGCGGGCCCCCGGCGGCGGCTGCGCCGCGGCCCTTGCCCAGCACGAAGCGCACATCGCTGAGCAGCTCCGAGTTGAAGAGGAAGGCGAAGCGCTCCTTCAGCGACGCCTTGGTCGCCTGCCAGTTGTACAGCGGCTCCCGCGGCAGGGGCAGCAGGGGCCCCAGAGAGGGCGGCGGCGGCCCCGCGGCGCCCGCCTCCGCCTCGGGCTCCGGGCCCTGCTCACCCGCGGCGGCCGGCCCCAGCGCGGCCATGCTCGGCGGCGCGGTTCCCGGCCTAGGCCGACCGCTCCTGTCGCCGCGCCGCCATCGCCGAGTCGCCCCCGGAGCCGGCCCGCCCCGCCCCTTCCGGGAAAGGCGCTTCCGGGGGCCGCGCGCCGCCGCCGGTCCCGCCCCGCTGCGCTGCCGGGATGCGCGGGCGCGCGGCCGCCGGGGCGGGGCCGGGGCCTCCGTGCGCGACCCCGGGGCGGGAGGCGGAGCCGCTGCGACCCCCTCGAGTCCGTCCGGCACCTCCTCCTCGTCGGTCTGCGCCCCCGCGCTGGCTGCACCGGGAGGGGGCGCAGGGCACGGCCGCGGGGTCGGACGGCACGGGTCCTCAGCCCTCCCCGTGACGCCACCGCCTAGGAGGCGACCGGGGAGCCGGCTGGAACCCCTGCTCGGCCTGCAGCTGCGCCCTGGAGAGGAGCCTGCCTGGCCCTCCGTGGCTCCTCCGCCTCTGTTCCTGGTATCAGTGTGGACTCGCGGATTTTTAACAGGTTATATGTTGTTCCATTGCCAAAAATTGGCCATATGTTAAATATCAAAAAACCCGCAAATGTTCCAAAGCAAAACTACCACAGGCTGTGTTATGTGGTAGGAAACAACAGCGGAAAGTATGGGGACACTGCTCCTTCAAATTTACAGAATGCCGTCAACGCTGAGCTCAAGGCTGAAGCAAAGCCATCAACCCGTGTACTAAACTGGAAATAATGAGAAAAAACTAAGTAGAGGACTCTGGGAAGAAGGCAGAGCGGGAAGCACTAGGAATCTTATCTCTCCACCTAGACAACAGTTGCACTGGCAAGATCTGTCTGATGTTACTATTTTGGGACTCTGGAGTCTGTTGAAGGCATGTCACTCCCAGGGGAAGAGAGTAAGTTGCTGTCAGCGTCAGGAAATTTCAGCTCTTTGCACGGTGGCAGCTGCACACCCAGCCACATGGCAGGCAGCTACCCCCATATTCCTGGAGCCGCCTGCACACAGCTTGTGGGAGCCAGGGTGGGGAGAAACGCACAGTGCGCCAAATATTGGGGATCTGTGTTCTGATACCTGCTTCTGAACACAGAGATGCAAAGGCTGGAGCCACTGCTGCACCTTCATCCACTGTTGAAAGCCTCACCCCTGCCAGCTGAAGTGACTTCTAGGGGACTAAAAGGGCCAGCACCCTTTCTTCCTCCTTTATTTTTCACTTTTCCCCCTTTTGGGAGCCAGACATTAAAGACTAATGCAGTTAAAAAAAACAACAAACAAAAACTGTATACATGGGGAGAATTAGAAAGTGACTATGCATGATCAGGAAAAGGCTGGGAAGGCCTTAGGTTTATACCTCAGGCTAATCCATGGCACAAGGACAGTTTACAAAAATAAAAACAAAAAACAGCAAATCCTGGGAAAAAAGGAGAATCTGTTTTCCAGATTACTACATTACTAGATTCAAACATCCAGTGCTCAACCAAAAAAATCACAAGGCATACAAAGAAACAGGAAAGTATGGTCCATTCCAAGGGAAAAAAAGAAATCAAACTCCCTGAAAAAGACCTCCTGGCAGATATGCTAGACAAATTTTTAAAACAACCACCTTAAAGATGCTCAAAGAACTTAAGGAAGATGTGGAAAAATCAAGAAACCAATGCATGAGCAAAATGGAAATGTCGATGAAGAGATAGAAAGTGTAAAATAAACCAAAAAGAAATTCTGGAGCCGAAAAGTATAATAACGGAAATGAAAACTTCACTAGAGGGATTCAAAGGCAGATTTGAGCAAACAGAAGAATCTTCAGATTTGAAATAACTCAATGGAAAGTATCAAGGCAGAGAACAGCACGAAAAAAGATTGAAGGAAAGCCAACAGCGCCTGAGGGAGCAATAGGGCCCCCCTGAAACGGACCAGCATACACACTGTAGGAGCCCAGGACGGGGAGAGAGAGAGAGGCGAAGAGAGAACATCTGAAGGCAACATGCTGAAAACTTAGGAAGCAAAAACTGAAAGAATTTAGGGAGAAACAGATGGTCTGCAATGATAATTGGAGACATCAGTGTCCCACTCGCATTAATGGGTAGAGCAACCAGAGGAAGGTGCGGAAGGAAACAGAGGACTTCCACGATTGACCAACTCGCTCTGACAGACACACGGCACACTCCACCCAGCGACTACCACAGACATGTTCTCAAGCGCACATGGCACATTCTCCAGGATAGGCCATATATTAGGGCACAAATTAAGGCTTAGTAGATTTTAATAGATGTTATGCAAAGTTTCTTCTCTAACCATTACAAGATGAAGGCAGAAGTCAACAACACAAGGAAACCTGGGAAATTCACAACATTGGGGAAATAAGACAACACACTTTTAAATAACCAAAGGATCAAAGGAGAAATCACAAGGGGAATTAGAAAATAGCTAGAGGTGAATGAAAATGAAAACACGATATATACTTAAACTTATGGGACACTATGCAAAAATGTGAAGGGAGAACTTTATAGTTATAAATGCTTACGTTAAAAAATATGATGTTTCTCAAATCACAACAAAACTTTATAACAAGGAACTAGAAACAGAACAAACTAAACCCAAAGCTAGCAGAAGGGAGGGAATAATAAATATGAGAACACTGATAGAGTAGAAAATGGAAAAATGATACAGAAAAATCAATGAAACCAAAAGTTGGGTTCAAAATTGATAAACCTTAAACTAGATAAACCAAGTAAAAAAAAAGATTAAAATTACTAAAATGGGAAATGAAAGTGGGGAACATTACTACCAATGTACAGAAATGAAAAGGGTTATAACAGAGTACTATGGGCAACTGCATGCCCAAAACTGGACGACCCAGATGAAATGGCCAAATTTTAGAAACACAAAACACAAAACACAAAACCGTTTTAAACACTTGTTAAAATGATGAGGAAGCCTTTATTCAAGTCTGTTGCAGTGGGGGCGCTGCAGCAGGGAAGTGTGATGGATCAGGCTCAACTCTGAATACAGCAACGACAGCTGGGGATTTATAGCCAACAAGCACAGTAAAGGGGGTCAGTAGATGGAAAGTTATTAAGAAGAGGCATCCAGGTTAAGGGGATTCTTGGTAAGCTAAGAATTCTTGCTCAAGGCAAACCAGGGTGATCAGATATCCAAGGAAGGGGAGAAGGAGCCTAATTAGATACTGAGAGGAATCAGATAAAAGGTGAGGGCATTCTTATTAAACTAATTTGGCAGGATTCTTGCTAAGACTGAGTTAGGCAAGTCAGCCACAGGCCTGGGGCCAAGGCTGAGACCTAGTTAAGCAGAAGGCTCAGAGAACCCTGGCCAAAGTTTGGTCGAGGAGAGGCACCATCCGCATTAAGGAATAAGTAATACAGGTAAGATTTCAGAGATTGGAGTCCCTATGAGAAGGGAAGCATGTGAGAGTTGCTCCTGCTTTTTCCCTGAGGGCTTTTTCTAATTTGTTGCTTGTTTCTCAAGCAGAAGCAACTCAAGAGACTGCCCAAGTAGTTAGGACAAGGCCCTGGAAAGGAGGGGGCTAGAGAAGTGAACCCCCAAATCCTACAAATTAACTTCATGCTGTCAGATAACTTGTAAGTTGCACATGTACAAGGAGAAAAATAGCAGCTGAGAGACTAAGTAGAAACTTCCCATATGCTGGACAGTGTTGGGGGACAGAGGTCATAGTTCAAGCCCTACCAAGATGGCGGCACCTTAGTGAACACAAGGGACTTCTGGTTGAGATTTCACTGGGACATGCCCTATGACACATAAGAAGTAAGGGTTGTATATTAGTAGTGAGAAAAAACATTAGCTTAAAAACCAATCTTGACTGGTTCAAGAAGATCTGTACAAGTTGCTGTAAAATTCAGTCCTGTTTGAAGAAAGATATGTCATCCAGAGACTTAACATTGTTTTCTTCTACAATGTTAGGAAAAAACCAATTATGAGGCATGTTAAAAAGGAGAAAGAAAGAGGTGGAGAAAGAGAAAGAAAAGACAATAGATCTATGGTTGTTTCAGATACTGGATGTATCAGCCAAAGACTTTAGAATAAGTGTGGTTAATATTTTTGGGAGCCAGACATTAAAGACTAATGCAGTTAAAAAAAACAACAAACAAAAACTGTATACATGGGGAGAATTAGAAAGTGACTATGCATGATCAGGAAAAGGCTGGGAAGGCCTTAGGTTTATACCTCAGGCTAATCCATGGCACAAGGACAGTTTACAACAATAAAAACAAAAAACAGCAAATCCTGGGAAAAAAGGAGAATCTGTTTTCCAGATTACTACATTACTAGATTCAAACATCCAGTGCTCAACCAAAAAAATCACAAGGCATACAAAGAAACAGGAAAGTATGGTCCATTCCAAGGGAAAAAAAGAAATCAAACTCCCTGAAAAAGACCTCCTGGCAGATATGCTAGACAAATTTTTAAAACAACCACCTTAAAGATGCTCAAAGAACTTAAGGAAGATGTGGAAAAATCAAGAAACCAATGCATGAGCAAAATGGAAATGTCGATGAAGAGATAGAAAGTGTAAAATAAACCAAAAAGAAATTCTGGAGCCGAAAAGTATAATAACGGAAATGAAAACTTCACTAGAGGGATTCAAAGGCAGATTTGAGCAAACAGAAGAATCTTCAGATTTGAAATAACTCAATGGAAAGTATCAAGGCAGAGAACAGCACGAAAAAAGATTGAAGGAAAGCCAACAGCGCCTGAGGGAGCAATAGGGCCCCCCTGAAACGGACCAGCATACACACTGTAGGAGCCCAGGACGGGGAGAGAGAGAGAGGCGAAGAGAGAACATCTGAAGGCATCATGCTGAAGACTTAGGAAGCAAAAACTGAAAGAATTTAGGGAGAAACAGATGGTCTGCAATGATAATTGGAGACATCAGTGTCCCACTTGCATTAATGGGTAGAGCAACCAGAGGAAGGTGCGGAAGGAAACAGGACTTCCACGATTGACCAACTCGCTCTGACAGACACACGGCACACTCCACCCAGCGACTACCACAGACATGTTCTCAAGCGCACATGGCACATTCTCCAGGATAGGCCATATATTAGGGCACAAATTAAGGCTTAGTAGATTTTAATAGATATTATGCAAAGTTTCTTCTCTAACCATTACAAGATGAAGGCAGAAGTCAACAACACAAGGAAACCTGGGAAATTCACAACATTGGGGAAATAAGACAACACACTTTTAAATAACCAAAGGATCAAAGGAGAAATCACAAGGGAAATTAGAAAATAGCTAGAGGTGAATGAAAATGAAAACACGATATATACTTAAACTTATGGGACACTATGCAAAAATGTGAAGGGAGAACTTTATAGTTATAAATGCTTACGTTAAAAAATATGATGTTTCTCAAATCACAACAAAACTTTATAACAAGGAACTAGAAACAGAACAAACTAAACCCAAAGCTAGCAGAAGGGAGGGAATAATAAATATGAGAACACTGATAGAGTAGAAAATGGAAAAATGATACAGAAAAATCAATGAAACCAAAAGTTGGGTTCAAAATTGATAAACCTTAAACTAGATAAACCAAGTAAAAAAAAAGATTAAAATTACTAAAATAGGAAATGAAAGTGGGGAACATTACTACCAATGTACAGAAATGAAAAGGGTTATAATAGAGTACTATGGGCAACTGCATGCCCAAAACTGGACGACCCAGATGAAATGGCCAAATTTTAGAAACACAAAACACAAAACACAAAACCGTTTTAAACACTTGTTAAAATGATGAGGAAGCCTTTATTCAAGTCTGTTGCAGTGGGGGCGCTGCAGCAGGGAAGTGTGATGGATCAGGCTCAACTCTGAATACAGCAACGACAGCTGGGGATTTATAGCCAACAAGCACAGTAAAGGGGGTCAGTAGATGGAAAGTTATTAAGAAGAGGCATCCAGGTTAAGGGGATTCTTGGTAAGCTAAGAATTCTTGCTCAAGGCAAACCAGGGTGATCAGATATCCAAGGAAGGGGAGAAGGAGCCTAATTAGATACTGAGAGGAATCAGATAAAAGGTGAGGGCATTCTTATTAAACTAATTTGGCAGGATTCTTGCTAAGACTGAGTTAGGCAAGTCAGCCACAGGCCTGGGGCCAAGGCTGAGACCTAGTTAAGCAGAAGGCTCAGAGAACCCTGGCCAAAGTTTGGTCGAGGAGAGGCACCATCCGCATTAAGGAATAAGTAATACAGGTAAGATTTCAGAGATTGGAGTCCCTATGAGAAGGGAAGCATGTGAGAGTTGCTCCTGCTTTTTCCCTGAGGGCTTTTTCTAATTTGTTGCTTGTTTCTCAAGCAGAAGCAACTCAGGAGACTGCCCAAGTAGTTAGGACAAGGCCCTGGAAAGGAGGGGGCTAGAGAAGTGAACCCCCAAATCCTACAAATTAACTTCATGCTGTCAGATAACTTGTAAGTTGCACATGTACAAGGAGAAAAATAGCAGCTGAGAGACTAAGTAGAAACTTCCCATATGCTGGACAGTGTTGGGGGACAGAGGTCATAGTTCAAGCCCTACCAAGATGGCGGCACCTTAGTGAACACAAGGGACTTCTGGTTGAGATTTCACTGGGACATGCCCTATGACACATAAGAAGTAAGGGTTGTATATTAGTAGTGAGAAAAAACATTAGCTTAAAAACCAATCTTGACTGGTTCAAGAAGATCTGTACAAGTTGCTGTAAAATTCAGTCCTGTTTGAAGAAAGATATGTCATCCAGAGACTTCACATTGTTTTCTTCTACAATGTTAGGAAAAAACCAATTATGAGGCATGTTAAAAAGGAGAAAGAAAGAGGTGGAGAAAGAGAAAGAAAAGACAATAGATCTATGGTTGTTTCAGATACTGGATGTATCAGCCAAAGACTTTAGAATAAGTGTGGTTAATATGATGAGGAAAATAGAAGAAAGATGGGATTTCACCAGAGAGCTGGAATCTGTGAAGCAGGGTCCAATGGAGATTCTTGACCTAAAAAATATTATTGCAATATCTAACTAATTTATGTTTAATAGCAAATTAGACACAGCAGAACAGATGATTAGTATAACTAGAAGGCAAGATGGTAGATGTCCAAATTGAAACAGAAAGAAAAAGGGACAGACAATACAGAAAAGAATATATGTCTGTTAATCATGAGACAAAAGGAAAAGGACTAACACACGTATAATGGAGTTACTAGAAGGAGAGCAGGGAATGAGGCAGACAGTATTTGAAGAAATACTGGCTGGAAATTTCTTGGTCCCAAGGAGACCAAGTGGAGGTGCGTAACTTCTTCACGCCTAGCCTAGAAGGCATGCAAGATTATATCCACTTCATTCTACTGGTTATAAATGGGTCACTAAGACCAGTCCAGGTTCAAAGCAGGGTGCAGACATAGACCCCATCTCTTCATGTAGTATCAAAGATTTTGTGGGCATATATTAAAGCTGCTACACTACTAAACACACGTATGTCCTATGACTCAGCCATTCCACTCCTGGGTAACTGTCCAACAGAAACCAGTGCGTATGTCCGCCAAAAAGAAGTACACAAATGTGCATAGCTGCTTTATTCATAATAAATGGCCAAGTGATTATCAATATGAGAATGGATAAATGTGGCATATTCATAAAGTGGATGAAAGAGAACAAACCCTAATCCTGCAACAGTAGGAATTAATCTCATAAAAGGGTTGAGTAAAAGAAGCCAGACACAAAGAATACAGCATGCTTCCTTTATATGAACTCCACAGTAGGAAAAGCTAATACGGGGTGCTAGAGCTCCGAACGGCAGTCACCTTTGCGGAGGGGCTGTTGCCTGGGAGGGTGCATGAAGCAAACGTGACAGAAACATTCTGTACCTACAACTAGCAATAGTTACATGGATGTTGTTCTGGTTATTTATTATTGTGTAACAAATCATTCTAAAACATAGCAGCTTAAAATGACAAGTATTTGTTTTCTCATGAATCTGCAGTGTTGGCAAGGCGTGGCACAGAAGGTTCATGTCTGCTCCACCCAGAATCATCTGGGGTAGCTTGACTGACGGCTGGAGGATCCCATCCCAGGAAGGTTCGCTCGCATGGCTGGCAAACGGGTGCTGGCTGTCAACTGAGGGCTAAGTTGGAGTTGCGGGCCCAGGACCTGGGTTTCTCTCTATATGAGCCTCTCCGCGCGACTGGGCTTCCTCACAGCCTGCTGGCTGCAAAGGCAAGTGGCTGGAGGGGGACAGCCGGGGAGAAGCTCCGGCCCCTTTTATGGCCTGGCCTCGACAGTCACCCAGCACGTTACTTTGTTGAGGTGGCCACAGAGGCCTGCCCAGGCCCAAAAGGAGGGAGCAGAGACTCTTCTCTTGATGGGGCAGTGGTGCATCACTTTGTGAGAAAGCCACGTGGGATTGGAGAAATTAAGTCATCTTTAGAAATATGATTGGTTATAAGTGTTCACATATGTAAAAACTTTTTAGCTTTCTACTTGAGACTTATAGTCCTTTATATATATATAAGTCCTTTATATATGACTTAAGTTATACCTCAGTAGAAAAGTAAGTAAAAGGTGAAAAACTTGTAAAAAAAAACCTAAGAAGTAAACGGATAAAGATCTACAATTCTTGCCCTTCTTTGCCATACAGCCACTCTCCAGGCATCACCACCATTATGTTTGATATGTACACTTTAAAACCTTTCCCTGTATACTCAAGAACATTATCTATCTAAACACAAATATACCCCCAAAACTATTTTTTTAAATAAAAATGGTATCACAGTACAAATATTGATCTGAAACTTGCTTTTTTTCAGTTAATACATTGTGGAAATCCTTCTACAACAGGAAGTTTGGGAGTGAAATGCCTTCAGATATTCAAAGAATAGATGCTATACAAACTATTGAGAGCTTAGATAATGAACTTCTAAGTTCATATTATCAAGTTGGCTTAACTCTGATACCAAAACTTGACCGAGAGAGCTTGCAGAAAGGAACTACCCACCAATCTCATATGAACATAATGTGAAAACCTCAAAGAAAGTAACAGCTAATCAAACCAAGCACCAATTAAAAGCATACATAACCACAACTAAATAAGATTTATCCAAGTGATTCAAAAGCAGTTCAATGTAAAGAAATACTAGTGGCAATTACCACATCAAATATGGACATTTGACCTAAATATCAAAAAGACACCCCCCTATATCCTTTGACACCATAGTTTCTCTTGGATATTTATCTGATTCAGATATATTCACATATTTGTGAAGTGGCATAAATACGTGGGTATCGAGACAGCTTTATCTGTAATAAGAAAAGACTGGACTTCTCCTCAAGGGAGAACAGGTTAAATTATGGTATATTCATGTAATGGAATGCCATATGACCAAGAATGAGGTATTCTTAGATGTACTCATATGGAAGTACTTCAAGTTAGATGGAAAAACGTTAAAAAATAAAATGAGCCATACAACTGAAATAATACAAAATCGGGTAGGACATTGTAGTATATGGCAGTATTCTTGTGTGACCCTGCAGTGCCTTGACCTCTCTCTACCTCAGTTTCCTCATTCATAAATTTATTATTATATCATAATAAAAGCTATACATAAAAAACAAAACAAAACAAAACAAAACAAAAAAAGTACACACTTCCAATTGTAAAATAAATAAGTAACTGGGGTATAATGTATGGCATAAGGAATATAGTCAAAATATTGTAACAACTTGGTATGGTGATAGCTGGTACCTAGAATTATCATGTATATAAATGTTGAATCACTGTGTTGTACACCTGAAACTAATGTAATACTGTGTGCCAACTACCCTTCAATAAAAAATAATTATCTACCAAAAAAAAACAAAAAAAAAACTATACATAGAGTTAGGAGTGGGTCCAGATTCTATGGGTCTGAAGCTTACACAATTATGTGTGTGTGTTTGTTGGGGGTGGTGGTATATGGGTCTTCACTACACAAGTCTTTTAAACTTTTCTATGTTTGAAATCATTAGAAAACTTAGAAGAGTATAATGGGAAACAGTCATAACACATCGCATATTTTTTAAAAGCTGACAAATATCACAAACAGCAAAAAATCCAGAAAGTAACATACTCCTTTTTACTAAGTAGTTTCCTGAAACACTTCCGTAACTTTTCCCCTGCAGTTTTGTCTTGATATAATTGTCTCTTCACATGAACGTCATCTTGGAATATTATTTTCTAGATAAAAAACAGAAAAATTATATTTTTCCTCCAGTAGGATAAAAACAATTATTATTGGCTGCTTGGAAAGTTTCTTAAGTTTCAGAACTTGGTACTGATAATATGCACATTTTTAGGATTATTGTGAAATCTGGGAAACTCTCTCAGTCTTTCTGTACGAGTTGTGACAGAGACTTTGAGGGTTGTGTCCTACCATGTAATGTAGGAATTCCAATAAATTTAATTTTGTGTGATGCCTGTCACCAAAGGGTATGGTTATCGATAAATGTAATCAGTGAATCATCTAGAATATTCTCAAGAAGAGAGGACTTCTTTTTTGATCAGGTGCTAATAAGAACCAAGTCCTCCACTTACGATTTTACACTTCAAAGGAGTTCAAGACTTTTCCACAGACCGGCTTCTGTCGCTGTTTATTTTTACCTTGTTTTTCTCCACTACCCACATACTTCTGGGACTGGGTCCCAGAGGATCCTATTATATTGCAGTAAGTGTTCTGGCCCTGTACCTTTGTGGCAGGATGCTGGGTAAGCTGGCACACTAGTCAGTAGGAATATTCCTGGAAGTGACTATAATGGGCATGTAGCAAAAGTGACTGATAACCGCAAACAGATATCATATTAAAACTTACTAAATGTATCCCTGACTCAGCTTCTCCTTAGTGCCAGAGGTCATTTCAGTGACAGAGGGAATTGTGATGGAAGATTTGTCAGAAACAACAGTCTTAATCAATTGTTGGTACAATATCTTATTTTGCCAATTTTACAAAAATATAACATTGTGTAAGTACATTGTTAGGGCCCCTCCCAGGGTCTTGGAGGAGGTTTGTGTACGTGAAGGGCCATGAAGCTTAGGCTTCAGTAGTTGCATGATAAATTGGCATCTGCACAGACCTGATGTTAATATATGGAAAGCATTTAGGACAGCATGGCAACAGAGTAAGTGCTCAATAAATATTATTGTTCTCCATTACTGATACATAAATAGATACATACGGCAGACTAGGAAGGAAGTCCAGAGACAGACCCATTTATGTATGTATGTATTGATTGATTGATTTTTGTTAGATTATATTTCATTCTCTATTCTAAAATATACACCTGAAAAAATCAATTTATATATTAAAGAAGATAATAATAACAAAGAAGAAAGGCAACAATATAACAATAACAAGACATTGAAAAAATAGAATAAAGTGCAAGTTAAATGATCTGGTTTTAAGGTGGTGTTTCTAAACATAACACCAAAGCCTAAATCTGTAAAATAAAAATACCGGCAGATTTGACATAAAAATCTCAAACTTCCATCGTTTACAAATAAAGCACAATAAAAGTAAGAAGACACGCTAGGAAAAATGTTTATATGCCTTATGACAAAAAGGACAGGACAGTATCCTTAATATATAAAGGGGCCCTACAAATCAATAAAACAATACCCACTCATCCCCTTTTTAATGGACAAAGGACATGAACAGGAAATGCACAGAAATATAACCATTCTGAGGCATGATGCAGAAATGTGTGCCCACAGTTAAAAATCTATGTATTTTTTGTCCCAGAAATTCTATATAGTAATTTATCCTGAGGATATAAGAACTGGGATTAGAATTGAAAACAACAAGAAGGATATCAAAGCATATAATTTAAAAAAATGAAACAACCCAGACAGATGATTAGTTAGTAAATTATGGTATAATCAATCATATGATGCAGCAATAAATATCCAATGAAGAATGTTTACTAATATGAGAAAATGTTCCCAACAAATAATACTGAGTGAAAAAGCAGGCTAGAGAGCAAGATCTATGGCTGACCATTTTATCCTATGGGCTCAGAGTACATCATTTTGTTTTAAATGTCTTTATTATACATTTTTAAAAGACTGAGTTTATAACCACTGTTATTAATCTGGCATATTGCCAGGTGATGGGCTTGTGAGAGATCCCTTCTGCTCTATATTGCTCTTCATATCTGAGGATAGAAAGAGGTGTTTGGTGGTTTGTTTTTTTTTAAGTAAAATTGTGAGATTTGACTACATACAATTTTTGAATTAGCTAACTGGAAGGCTATAGCAAGGACACTAACATGTCTGTGCCATACAATGCAGTTTATTTCTTTGCTTTTCTCTAAAATGATGTTAGGTGTTACTTCTCACATGGCCAAATGCAATTTAGTTCAGTTAAACCTTCATTGCATACCTCCGTGTGCAGGGCACTAGAGGTGAGAGTACAAAGATGCCTAGAACATATTACCGGCCCCAGAGAGGTTAATAGGTTAGCAGGAGAGGGGAACCCACTGGGACCTGCCCAGCAAGAGTAAAACTTCTTTTTAGTTTTTTAAAAAAAATGCAGCTGCAAAGGCAATTTGCCGTACCCGAGACTAAATCCAGCTTCCTTACGGCCCTCTCTGTCCTTCGCTATTGCTTTCTGGAATTTAGCCTAGGAAAGAAATATATGTCACCATGTGTGCTAGTTTATAATTAGAACAAATGTGAGGACTTATAAGAAAAAGACCTATTGGCGAAAACATTTAGTAAAACTCTAGAAAAGGCAGCCAGGAGAAAGGACGAGGAAGAGATCTAGTTTGGAAATTAATTTAATACCAAAGGAAAAGGCGACATGTACAAACTACAAAAAGTAATTATTATGTCTTTAGGATTTTTATATTTCAGGAGTGCATGAAAATGTAGCTGCTATTGGGTTACCCTCCATTTGAAAGGATGAGTTTTGTAGGTATAAATAGAAGCTCAGGTCAAGAGGCTAAAGGCAGAAAAAGACTCACGTATCCAGAAGAGTGAGAAGCACGTGGAATGATACCCTCTGCCTAAAGCGCTGCAATCAGGCCTGTGACCCGCGCTTGAGCCCCAAGGGGGGGGTGAGAGTCAGAGAGCCCAAGATGGCCCTTCTCATAAATCTTAAACTGGACTTTTTAACCAAACCTTGGCCAAACTTCACTCTGAGGACACTGACACACAGCAGCCTGATTCCTAAGACCTCAGAGCCCCTAGGGGAGTTTTCTCCTCACCCGTGTCCAACTGAGCATCAACACTTTTCGAAAGGGTGATTGGCCTAAGCCCTAAAAACCAGTATCTCCTCCCTCTTTGGGGGCAAGAGTTTCTGAGAAGCCTTTCTTAGAGGCACGGCCCCAGGAATTATAAAACAAACAGGGAGAGGGTCACCCCTGGTCTGAGGGAGAGGGGGACATGTCTACCCATCTCAAACTGATTCTTGGCACCTTGTCACTAAGGTGTCTAACCCATGGGTGAGGACAGGGGGCGCTGTCTGTGCCCTTTTTGTGTTTGGACCCATCCTGTCTCGGGGGTTTCCTTGGGCAATAACATTTCTTCTGCTCCAGCTTTCTGGGAGGTGGATAGGGGGTCTCTGAAGTTTGTCATTTCAGTAGCCCTGGTTTCTTAACCCAAACATCTGTCACATTGGCTGGCCCTGGGGCCCTAGGCATCTTTACTGTCTCCCCACTATTTTTCTTACAAACTCCAGATCCTACAAAATTCTCAGACTCCCTGAATCCACCATCTTATGTCAGAATTTTACCTCTTTCTCTAACCCTGTAAGCAGTGCATTATCTTGGGTTGGTTAGACTGAACTGTTAAGATCTTCAGTTGATCAGAGTAAGTTTTCCAAGATCTTGCAGACCTGAGGCTGTCTTGGTGTTACCTTGTTCGGTAGACCCCAGCTCTGCCTAGAAAACAGCCCTGCGGGAGGCCCCTCTCCCAGGCCTCACCCCCACCTGCTGGCCACGGGCACCGCTGGCATTGCCTCTCAGCTTGCCTGGGCGCTCGGGAGAGGCAGACGCACTGACTCCGACTCTTTAAAGCAACCTCTGCTGGGAAAACTTGCAAGATGTTTGTAATTTCAAAATGCCATGGTGTCAGCCTGTGACTTGAATTTGTGTTTTACTTTTTATTGTGGAAGATCTGAAATTAAAAATAGGAGGATTCTTGACTTAACTTTAACATGGACTCTATGTATAGGCTCACTTTGTCCTTCTGAAATTCCACTGGATCTTTAGTCACTGGCCACTGAGAGCTGTGAGTATCTCCTCTGGGGTTCCGGAAGGCCAGGGGCAGATGCTGAGTCCTGTTGGTCAGGGGCTCTTGTTTTTTTCCCCAGTGTGACAAATGGCTGTGGAAAAATCTGGGTTTGAATGCTCGCTTGATTGTTTACTGGTATGACCTTATTATTCTTCATTTTTCAAACATAGAAAGTAATGCCCACTTCCTTAGATCATCGTGTAGGATAAATTAGTCAATACTTTATCTAATCAAATCCAGGACACCACTTGGACTACTTTTTGCTTACTTGAGAATTGGTGACAATATTTTTCCACAATGAACAAATGCATTTTATTTCCCTCTCAAATAATGTTCCCTTGTAATCTGCCTGCTCTGAGACAGGAGGCTTATCTTCCCAGAATAGGAAAGAGTGAATATTTGGCCTTATCAAGGTGACTGTTAAAATTAGGTGGCCGTAGAGAAGATCCAGTGTTCACTCCTGAGCCCGTTTTAGCCCCCAGGAATGCAGAATTGAGAGCCAGCAGCCCTACCATGGATCTTCTGGGGGGGTGGGGGAGGTGGGGCCAGATGCGCAACATGGCAACGACTCAGAGGAGCCCCTAGGTCAGGGAGAGCCACAGGGAGGTCCAGGCAGCTGGAGGGCAGCCCTCACTCAGGCTGGGCTGCAGGTCGGAGCGGCTGCAGGGGTCAGCTGTGGGCATCAGAAGCCAGGGCCAAGGCCATTTGCACCTCAGTGGTCACCGGCCCACACACACTGCAGGGCCAGCATGAGGTCGCAGGATCTTTAGAGCCAGTCTCTGTACCCAAATGCTACCGCAGAGACAAATAAACCAGAGCAGGAGAGTGGCATCTGACAGAGTCATTTTGCCTCTGAGCCTGACTTAAATAGATTGGTCACATTCCTGGCTTGGACGAATTCACCTGGAATAGACTAAAATACATCTGTTTCCATGTCGCCTGGTAAGACTAGATCACTTGAAGATAAATAAAGGAGCTACATTTCTTGGCACTTAGTGTGAATATAGTGTGACCAAATTTGCAGCCCTCTTTCTCTCTTTTGCTTATTTTTCCTTGAATTTGTCAACTTATAAACTTCTGCTGCTGCTGAAAGTAGTTCATTTCAGGAATTTTTCTAGATATTAGAATAGAATTTGAGCCCTGACACTGGAACTTGTCCACAATCATCCCCTTACTTATTAATAAAAAATTTTCATAATTTCTCTTCCTTTCTAAATCTGTTCATCACCCACCCTTCATCTACACACCCAGACAATAACCCATGCTGGGGACTGAGACAGAAGGTGAGCAGCAGTTTCAAACACGGAAGGTGAGCAGATAATGAACACTGCTGCAGTCACCTTCCCACAGAGCCACGTGGGCTCGCTCTCAGTTTTGGTGTCCAGGCATTTAATTGTCAGGCAGGGTTTAAAGCCCTGGGCTTCCAAGTCCTCAGACACAGTGACAGCCGTCTTTGAGAGCTTCCTTACCTTGCAGAAGGTCCAGATGCACATCTGCTGCCCCAGACCTGGAATCAGTCATTTCTCTAAGGGGCCTCATTCCCTTTAGTGAGAAATATATTTAGAAACCAGAATCTGGCCTCTAATGAGGCTCATTTCTTCTGGGTTGGTTATTTCTAGTTTCTTTCTGTGGACAGAGAAGAGACAAAGACTATTTGGGGAGAAGCAGATTTTGGAGGGTGAAGGAGAAAGGATTTTTTTTTTCTCAGTCATTTCTCTATTATCAACCATTTAAATCGTAGTTTTGATAATAATAAAGCTGTTATACATATTTTTATTTATAGTTTTTCTCCACCTTTGAATTCATTTGCTTAGGATAATTTATTACTGCAGATTTATTAGGACAGAGGGCAGGAACACTCAGGTGCCATCTTAATTACTGCCTCAGAGGTTACATACAGAACCAGCTACATAATTCACAGACTGCAAAAATGGAAAATGAAAACTCACAGGTCCTGGTTCAAAAAGCAGTTAATAATCCTGTTAAGGTGCTAAAATGAAAAGCCTTTTCCTTTTTCCCGTCTCTCCCTCCCTCCACGTGTCCTGGTGGTTTTTATTTGCTATTTAATGCCAGGTTCCCAGAGGCACTGGCAGGCTGAATTAGGCCCACGGGCCCCCCAGGACTCAGTCCCTGGCAGCATGCGGGGGGCACACCAGCTGGTGGCCGGGCGCTGGGCCAGGGATGTCCCCCTCCCCCAGGCCAGCTGCCCCCAGGCCACGGGGATGGCGAACCCCTAGGGTGTTGCAATCTTCGTGCCCGGAAGTAACATGTATCTGAATCCAGGGATGGGCGAAGTGCCTGCTAAACACGCCCTGGCTCGTCCACCGCGGACGGGTCACCTGCAGCCAGTTCTTCCCCTGGGTCGCCACTGGGTGTATGAGCTCAGCTCTGACCCCGTGCCTAAGCCAGGGCCCCCGGCCGGGAGGGGGTGACGGTGGCAGCCGGGCAGGGCAGGAAGGTGAGGCCAGGTGAGGCCCAGGGAACCAGCGGGTGGGGATGGGAGCTTGAGCTGGTTTCTGGGAGGCAGGGGGCAGCAGGAGCGGGACAGTACTTGAGCCAAGGCTCCAAGCATCCCCATTGCCCCACTGGAGCCCCCTTACAAAAGCCCCAAAGGTGGGGCTCCCTGGCCCCAAGCCAGTTGTGGCTCCCTATGTGGTATATTCAGCAGCAGGTTTAAAATATGACTGGGCACTAGGGTCCTTGGAGATGTTCTCTGGGGATGTTTTCTGTGAAGTCAAAATTATTTCATGATAACACAAAGACATTATTTGCCCTTTTCACTCTCATTCTCTCAAGAGTGCAGGCTGGGGTTCCCAGAGGCCGCCCGGCGGTGTGACACTGCGACAGGCTGTGTGCCGAGGCGGAGAATCTCGCTTCCTCCACTAAGCCGGACATTAAAGAGATCTTCAAAGACATAAAACAATACCAGTCTTCTCCTTAATATCTGTTGTGGAAAAATATAGTAGTTTTTCATAAAAATGTGTTAACTGTTTACTTATTTATTTCTATATATCCATTTTTGTTATTCTAAAATGAATGCATGAAGGTATTTTAATTTCTACACCACTATTGACAGGTATAACTCATGTAAGCAAAAGTTCTTTGGGGCCCTCAATACCCTTTCTAATGAATGCAACTTTTAAATTGAGGTAAAATTCATATAACTTAAAACTAACATTTTAAAGTGCAGTTTGGTGGCATTTAGAACAATCACTGTGCTGTGCAGCCACTACCTCCATTTACTTCTAAGACGATATCATCATCCCGAATGGAAACACTGTACCCAGAAGAGTCACCCCCATTCCTCTCTCTCTGCCCCCGGTAACTGGCAGTCTGCTTTCTGTCTCTATGGATCTATTTGGGTGTTTCATGTAAATGGAATTACCCAATCTGCGGCCTCTCTCTCATCAAGCATAATGTTTCTGAGGGTCATCCATGCTGCGGCAGGTAACGGCACTTCATTCATTCTTACGGTCAAACAACCTTCCATTGTGTGATATACCAGATTTTGTTTATCCACTCATTAGTTGATGGATATTGGGTTGTTCCCACCTATTAGCTCCTTTTCTGATCAGCGTTTTCAGTTGAATAAAACCCAGGAGTGGAATTGCTGGGCAATATGATATTTCTGTGTTTAATTTTTCAAAGACCTTATCATCTGTCTTCCTCAGTACCTGAATCATTTTGCATTCCCGCCAGCAAGGGTGGGAGAGTTTTAATTTCTCTGCATCCTCAACACTTGCTGCTTTCAATTTCTTTTTACTGTAGCCATGATTTACAAATACTTCCTCACATTTTGGAGGTTGTCTTCTTACTTTCTTCAAAGTATCTTTTGATGCACAAAATGTTTTAATTTTGATTAAGTCAACTTGTCTAGTTTTTCCTCTGTTGATTGTGTTTTTGGTGTCATTTCTAAGAAATCTCTTGCCAAATCCAGAGTCATGAAGATTTACCCCTATGTTTTCTTCTAAGAGTTTTATAGTTTTAACTCTTACGTCTAGGTCTATAATCCATTTTGAGCTAACTTTTGTATATGGAATGAGGTACGGGTCTAACTTAATTCTTTTGCATGTGGAAATCCAGTTGTTCCCAGCACCATTTTTGGACTCTCAATTCCATTCCAACAGTTTATGTATCTGTCCTTATGTTAGTACCACACTAGCTCGATTCCTGTAGCTTTGTAGTAAGTTTTTAAATTGGGAAATGTGAGTCCTCCAACTTTGTTTTTTGTTTTCAACATTTTTTGGCTATTCAGGGCCCCGGGAGACTCCTTATCAATTTTACAATCAGCTTATAATTTCTGCAAAAAAGGTCCTTAGGATTTTTGCATTGATTCTGTAGATTGCAGTGGGAAGTATTACCATCTGAATGGCAATTTTGTCATAAGACTGAAGTCTTTTTTTATATATTATGTATTTATATATTTTATAATATATAATATTATATATTATGGATATAATCTTTTAATCTAAGAACCCAGACTGTCTTTCCTTTTATTTAGATCCTTATTTTCTTCAGCAGCATTTTGGAGTTTTAAGTGAACAACCTTTGCACCAACTTGGCTAAATTTATTCCTAAGTATTGTATTCTTTTTAGTCAGTCATAAATGGAATTCTTTTACATTTTAATTTCAGATTGTTCATTGCTAGTATATAGAAATACAACTGACTTTGGTATGTTGATTTTATCTCCTCCAGCTTTGCTGAATTCATTAATTGGCTCTAATGGTTTTTTGTGTGTTCTTTGGGAGATAGATAGGTAGACAGATAAATAGATAGGTAGATAGACATAGGATCATATTATCTGTTAAGGAAGAATTTTACTTCCTCCTTTCCAGTCTGGATGCCTTTATTTCTTTTTCTTGCCTAAGTGCTCTCACTAGGGCTTTCTGTACAGAGTTGTTGACTAACAGTGGCGAAAGTAGGCATCCTTGTCTTATTCCTGGTCCTGGGGGATGTTTTTTTAATCTTTTATTATTGAGCATGTTAGCTGTGGTGTGTTGGGTGTTTTTATCATGAAAGGCTTGATAATTTTTAAGAATGTGAAGGGGTCCTCCTGGTATCAACTATTAGTTAAGAGCAAGGGCTTAGAAATCAGTCCACCTGGTGTGAATCATAGGTTGGTTAATTACACGCTTCATGACCTTGGACAATTTACTTAACTTTTTGTGCCCCGCGCTCCTTATTTGGGAAATGGGGACGATCACACCTCAGAGGGTTAAATGAAGATTGGGGAACACACATCAGGGCAGTGCCTAGTGTGGAGTAAATGCTCCACACGGTAGCAATTTTTCCAAGCACTGCACCAACTTAAATATTCACTGGCAAGCAATTCCAGTATTACCATTCTCCCAAAGCGCGCCCTGCGTAGACCTGGCGATTTGCTTCTTCTGCTCATTTAAGAGATGTCGCCTCATTTTTCTAATGCCCATTTCTGTAATTACTGTGGAGGCTACATAGTTTTCAATTATTTGCCACAGTTGTGATTTTTCTCTTTTTAACCTATTTGCACTTTTATTATTAGCTGTCTCACATGCTATTTTGATGCACTCAGTTGAGTATAAGATAAATAACTAAAATTTGTCCAGTTTACACCACATTATCAAGGCTGTTGTCCTGTTCATTAAAATAACATGAGGGCTCCAAGGACATTCTGGAATTATCTGTCCCACATGTTCTGAATCTTTGACATAAGCCATGGAGACTGAGCACAGTTGCTGGTACTCAGTACAGTGATAAAAATACGAGCCTCCATGAAAAAGCGTGCCATGGCCAGAAATGAAATTCAAAGCAGCAGGCTGGGTTTCAGAGGCCACGTCACTCAGATATGCTGCCTCCCCGGTTACAGGCAAGTAAATATAGACCAGGCTGATTATGTGCACACACTTCATTTAACTTTGCCCATCTCCATTCATTTTCAGTTATAAGGAGGTCTGCTTATTCTTTTCCCATCCACCTCAGAACTTTTCCTTCATTTCAAGGCTATGTTCCCCCTCGGCTCTTGAGCTTGTTCCCTTACCGTCTTGCTGTCTGATCACCCTCTTTTCTTTCTGGTGACTTGAACCCTCCATTTCTACTGCACCTTCTCCTAGTAACATAGACAACTATTTCTCCTAACAGAAAAAGTGTCCTTCCTCATCCTGTGTCAGTCTCTAGGTCCCCCCTTTCTCCTCCCTCCCTATCGCAGGTCATCCATCTGCTTCCTCACGTCCTGACGCGCCCCTGACCGTTGCTGGCTCTGGCCACCTTTCCACAGAGCGCCTCTGAGGCTGCTGGTGGGGATCTCCTAGCTGCCAAACCCGATGAGACGTTTTCTGTCACTGTGTTTGACTGTGAGGGGCCTGTCAGTTGACCACTTGCTCTTTGACATCCTCCTGGCCTGGGTTTTGGGACACAGTTCTGTATTTCTGGCGCCTCTCTGGCCTGTTCTCTTCAGTCTCCTGAGTGGCCAGCTCCCACGCCTCCCGCCTCAGGCACTCGTGTCACTCAGGGCCCCATGCTGGGCCCCTTTCTCCTTCTTTGCCCCTCCAAACACACTTTCCCCTTGATCTCATCTAGTCCCATGATCTCCTCTAACGCTGCGGATTCCCGGATGTCTGTCTTCATCCCTGCCCGGTCTTCTTCGGG